ATTATTAATCTCTATTTAATTGTAAATCGTCAGAGAGCAATAGAAATTGAGATGTAATATTGAGACGTCAAAAACACTTAAGTGAACAATTATGTACAAAAAAAACTTTTTACCTTTTGCCCTCCGTCAGCACATTAAATAATTGATACAAAATATTTGAAATTATAAAATAAATAAATTCTTCAGTGTAAGACAATATAATTATGGCATCACATTAAACATTGACTCGCGCCACTAAAACTAAACTGCTGAGTTCTGAGAACAGGTTTGATATAAGGAATTATTTCATTTTAATTCCACGACGAAATACTAATTGGAGTTTATTTCACGTAATATAAAGTCAAATTATTGATTTATATTGATAAATCAAATTATTATAAATCAATAATTTGACTTTACGGGATATACGGGACTTGGTCGTATTTAAAATATTGTATATTTTTAATAAAAAAAATAAAAGTTATTTTTGAGCAATCTTACTATTTGATTCATCAATTAGCGTTCATAGACATCATATCATCTGTCGTGGATTAATGCGACATCCGCAATAACTCGTAAAACACGTCCATCTCCCTTCGAGGTCGCCGAGCGAATGCCGAAGTAGTGACGTAGCAACCACCGCGCTGCGCGCTAGATGGCACGCTCTCCCTCACTTTTGCCGCGTGACATGACGAAAAGCAAGGGGGAGCGTGCCTCCCCTTTCCTTCGCTGTTCGCTGCGCACCATTTGATTACCCAACTATTGCGTATTAAAAATATTCACAGTTTATTTAATTATTTTACATGATTTTGACAACCAGGTATCGTTGTACATTTCGCTTTGCTTTGTGGCATTACTAATTTAATCCTTTAAACGTAATTGGTAATTATTCGCGTGTTTAAAGTATTTTTGATGTTCCAATGGTACATTATGTCTCAATTTTCATTATACTTTTAAATGATTCATACTTAAACAATGGTTGATAATATTCTATACATCCTTTATATAAAGATACATGCAATTTTTAATATTGCGAAATTATTTGCGCTCAGTATAGCTTTGGTTAAAAGTATAAATATCTTAATCATACGCGTAATTTAATTTTTCAGCTAAAAAATTAATTTATGACACTACTATTGTTGCAATAAATTATTCTTTCTTTCAAAAATTCTTTAAACTCTTATGTATAATTAATAAGCCGGCCATGGCTCGATAAAACAATTGTTATGACTTACTTAAAATAGAAAGTATAAAATAAGTTTCAGAAGCTTATTTAAAATATAAAATCGTAAGAATTGGTAAAAAACTGATACTTATTTGAAATAAAAAATATAAAACAGATTTGGGAAATTTAATTATTTAAAACACTAAATAAAAAATAAGTCAGAAGTGTAGTTATTTAAAAGTAAATTCTAAATAACTCTTTCGTATTTTTTATTTAAAATATTGGGTCATTTAAAAAGTATCCACGGTTTTTTAATTCAAAAATTGAACAAAAAACCGCGGATACTTTTTAAATGACCTAATATATAACTTTATTTGACCCTTAATACACATTTTAGTTTTGTGTACCCTTATTATACATGTTGGGTCATTCGTGTTCTGGATTAATTTTCATTACTTTTATAATTAAGTGTATAAAAATTATTAAATTATTTTTACATACATTTTGACATCTTTAGAAAGTGTTTGTGAAATTGTATATTTATAACAAATTGTATATGCTCCTTACGAAAATAAATCAGATGAAAGTAAATCACTGAAATTGCTGAAATAAATCTATGAAATTAATAGAGATTTCAGCAATTTATTTCCATCAGGAGCACCGGAAAGAAATGGATATTTTTGTATACTTCCATTTCTTCAGAGGGTAGTAATACGCGGGAGCATTTTTGTGGTTACAGGAAAAAGATCTTTATGTTCTCTCTCAGGTTTCTCTCTGTTGGCACGTTCAGGGTATCGATTATATGTTTCTTTTTTCTTATGTATATACATGCAGATATATAAATAAAATTTTTCACTTTGCACGTTTTCGTTCTAAACCAAAAATTACATAATCGATATCCAGATGATTAGCTGGCGATTAAAATTTAATAAACGTAAAAATTTAGTAGTGTCTAATCATAAATATTATGACAGCAAATCCATGGCCATGCATTATGCATTTAAAGTAAAAACAGAATGTATTTTTATTATTTTTAATCTTTCCATTTAAATGGAATGGATGAAAAATGTCGGACCAATCACAAACCGGGAAGAAGTTGACCAGACTCTGATAGAGGGTGTCTATGATATGTTAAGGCTTTAAACACAATAGGCACAAGCAACAGTGAATAACGAGCCATCCAATCAGAATTCTGGTGTGTAAGTTCGATATTATATCCCAGAGCTTTGATTGGACAGCTTGTTATTCTCTGTTCTCTGTGCTTATTGCCTGTACCTATTGTGTTTAAGCCTTTACAAAAATAATCACCCACGATTGGTTAATTTCTTACGGCTTACGTCTTGCGATCCTATTTATTGTAAAACAAGCTTAAGGAAGTGTTTATATTGGCCATAATCGTATGAAAATTATGAGTGATCAAATTTACTAAAATTTTCACAATTTAATTGGTCAGTATCTAGTGAATTTGCTTTTGTAATTTTATGCTGTGAAAGCGCATACAGAGTCGGATTTTGTAAATGATTTTTCAAAAATTATAATAAATAAAAATATGTCCACCTCAACGGGTGTATATCAATTGCCCACATTGCTAATTGATTAATTTAAAATAATATAAGCTCATTGGTCAAGCAGTGAAAAATTACTAGGAACAGGCCGATGTGAGTGGTGTATGCAATTAAACTGTGTGCATGTAACTGTACGCCATTCCTCACTTCACTGCACTTTAGCATGTATATGTATTGGGTCATCTAAAAAGTATCCGCGGTTTTTTGTCACTAGATGCGTGTTGATGATCATATATCTAGTGACAAAGTACCGCGGATACTTGATGACCCAATATATGTACGTACATATTGGATGAGATATCCGAATAAATTTTTATTTTGCCTTTTTCTTCAAAACATCCGTACGAGCTTTCAGAAACCTTTCCTGATTACAAATATCTCAATTAAAACGCGATTCATTTGGCATTTTAGCTGTAATTTCAACATGAAGAAATTCGTCTTTGACTAGAAATTTTTTCTGTCGATTTTAAGGATGCAGCCACAATGGAAGGAATAAGAAATATTTCAACCTGTCTGAAATCGGATACACCGGAATTCGCGGTTATGTGATAGGTCGAAATCTTTATTTATTCTTTACTACTAATTCTATTCCTTCTATTGTGACTGCCCCTTAATAATTGGATTAGATTGGTTGGCCAGTTATATTCAGCGTCGAGAAGAAAATTCCTATACAGACGCCACGCAATAAATGGAACATCCCTGCATTGTGCTTACATTGTTCGATTGCGCGCCGTAAACGTCGGTAACGATGCGAGGAACGTTTTACAGACACTGGTATGTGTTGTTCCCCGATACAAGTGTCTATCAGCTCCGAATGCACGAGAAGTGTTTTACGTGGGCCTACGAGTGATTCGGCATCATCTTCCTGGGCCAAGAATTCTACGCAGGTACGCGCCTTTTTGACGGCGACGCTACGCGGGCAGTTGACTACTGTGGATCGCTCGAAACACGATCGACAAATAGACGGATAATGATCCGGTATTTGATGGCTAGTCCCTGGAAGTCCCTTCAAGGTCGATGATGCGGCACCTGCACGTCTCCGTTCGGATCTTCTCCCGCATACACATCGACGGGTCGCCGTAACCTCCAAAGTTTGTTTGAGACTTGAACCGATACTCCATTCTGACATAAAACAACAATTCGGACTGTCGTCATGCAGATGGTTCGTCCTGCTTTGAGCGCGATGTGTCGAGAGCAGCTTGCAGGTCAACTCCCGTGTAAATCCGTCTCACCTCTCACTATAGTATCCTTGTGGATAATCCCTTGGCTATCGTGGATCATCATTCTGATCTACTCTGATCTTTCTCTATGTAATATGGCCTGTATGTAATTAATTCATCTGTTTCGTTTTAATAGTGCAGCCATGAACACTACAATAAGCACTGTCAGTAGCGGTGGTGACAAACATCTACCGGAAACGACTGTACAGACCGTGGCACAAAACTTAACTACAATGCAACAAAATGTACAGAGTGTACAGAATATGCAGAGCATGGTACAGAGTAATATACCGAGCATTCAACCAACCCAAACTATTGTTGGATCCATGACACCCAGCGGTCTAGTAGGCAAATCGGTATCTCTGGACATGAATCCAAAATTATCTTTAATGAAACCTGTGGTACCTTCTGGTGCTACCTCGTCTACAGAAACGAGTAAAATAACAACGGTAATTCTAGCATTGCTAAAAATTATGTTATAGTATTAATATTACGTTGCTTATAGGAGTGTTGCACACACGCGCAAAGAGTCATTATATTTTATTTTATATAATGAAATATTTTACTATATTCTACTGTAAAATAAAGTATAGTAGAATTTTTTATTTTATAATAAAGTAAATAAAGATTTATTTCAATATTTGGTATTAAATGTGTCAAAAAGTATTTTATATAATGTAAGATATTTTAATAATGAAAAATTAACTTGTCAAGTGCTTTAATGCATATATACAATTTGTGATAGATTTATTAATATCAAATTCAACGCTTCTAGTTATGTTCTATAGGATCTACAGTAAAAATAATATCACCAGGAATGTTAAGTACTGTGGAAAGGCAAATTCCACCTCAAACACAATTACCACATCCAGTAACTATACCAGCTACGTACCATGTACCGCGTGGACCTGCTGCAGTTGCTAATATCTCTGCACCTAGATCAACAGTTGCCACTCCTATCGTCAGGACAAATATAGGACAAATTGTGCCTGCTACTAGACCAGGGTACATACATATCTAAAATAAAATAGTTTCTGAAATAATAGTCAAAAAAGATGAAACATGATATATGTAATTAAAAGGGAGAAATTAAAATAATTATTTAGAAATATATATGCAGAATTGTTTTAATAGAACAAACTAGTTATATCACATCACATGTCGATTTTTTCAGTAGTAATACACCCATCTCTAATCCTCAATGGCAACCTAAAACAACATCTGTTGCATTATATGCACAACCGCAAAGACATCCCACTCCTTCCGTCAGCAGAGTTTCCAGGCCATCGTCCACTGTATATACGGGACAACAGCCACGCTTAATTACGCCAGCCAGTCAAGCAAGATCTGTTCAAGCTACCATGGTTGCTGGTAGTTCGTCCAGATTAATAGCACCCGTCTTGCAAACTAATCTTACTAGACATCCAGTTGCACAAAACAGACCGCCAACACCGCAAGTAGTAACTGTGTCACAGACCTCGCAACCCATCAGATCGTCGACACAAACCATTCAAGTAAATTATGTGATATAATAAATTAATATATGTATACATATATAATATATAATATATGTGTAATGTTGTACAACTTTTTGTTTACTTTTTTACGCACTTTCAAAAACTTACAGTTGTCAAACACAGTTTTGAGTCATGGTACACGAATATCGACACAATGCGTTCGACCCGGAGGTGAAGGCATACGTGACGGTTGAGTGTACTACTTTTCTGAATTGCACATAAATGCCAAGAAGAGATATATATACAATTTATGAATTTATAAATTTTATTGAAATGTTTAGCCTACTCAGTCTAGCAGACCTCTAACTACGACTGGTACGACGAAACGTATAGCTGCATCACCCATTGTAGAGACAGTCAACAGAATAAGCAGTACAGCTTCAGTTACTGTCGGTGCGGTGGAACCAACAGTAGGACGACAATTGTCAATTAGTGGTAATACGGTGGCTGGACCATCGACCGTTAGTCATATCGTTATCCCTTCACAACAGGTACTCTAATTGTGTTGTACTCTAATTTACAATATATTGAAAATTCTTTCAAGGTGATAAATATAACAATTGTTTAACAGGTTCAACCACAGCAAGGTGCACCGCGTGTTGTTCAAACCGTCACATCTCTGTCGAACCTTAGTACTGTATCACAAGTAATTACAACAACCGCAAATACACAGTCAAATGCAATGCGCATACTGCAAACAGTTCCAACCACAGTTGCGAAAATCGCAGGAATGTCCTTACATCCTTTGCCCATTGCTCTACCGGTCAGGGCTGCGTCGGCGCCGATCAAGGCTGCTCCTACACAGTCCCAAAATATTGGACAAACTGTCCAAGTAAAACCGGCACCACAAGCTAATTTACGCATGTCATCCACCAACAGCAGTACAATCACAAGTTCCACTCAGCCGGTCCAGGGACAATATATACATCCACCACATACTACTACGTATCTTTCTTTTGAGACTACAGGTAAAAATCAATTAAAAAAGGCTAATAAGTGAATTATCTTTTACATTCTTGTATCCTGTGATAAATATAATTGCATTATCTTCTGCAATAACAAAAATTTGTTTTTCAGGAACGTATTCGCAGTTTCGACAAGCTTCAGTGCAACCAGTGAGATTAGTTGTTGAGCCAGGATATGAAGAACCCCATGGTAAACCTAATGCATCTCCCCGACCGAGCATTTTGAGAAAGAGAGATCATGACAATTCACCAGTTAAAGGTATGATTATTAAATGAAGCAATAACAACATGTTATATAAAAAATATTTATTAAATTTTATTTTATAACAACGTACAAACACATAAATACATATATAATAAGTAAGGAATAGGAAAATTCAACTAAAACTGATGATATATAGTGACGATTTTTTTCAAGTATATTTTATTGATAGATATTTTATAATGATAGAAATTGAAAGATTTAATTTTGCAGCGTGTTGAAACGTGCTTGAAAATATTGACTTTAAAGTATTAAGAAAATATTTATATGTGATAACTGTTTACATATGGAAAAAAATTCTCGTTCTATTCAGTTTGTTAACACAGTTCAAAACGAAAAGAATATTAAAATAAAAGAAAATTAGATATTACAGAGAAATTTTTTGTATATGTTCTTTTAATATGCTACATTTATTATATATTAATAAATATATATATTAATTAAGTATAGTGGTAATATAATTAATAAGTATAATGGTTTTTATTTCTCTATCTTCTGTTATATATTATAAAATAAGACCTGAAATTTCCTGTTATATAAATTACTTATACTTGTTTAATGGATATCCATTATAGAATTTCAATTTCACAGGGGAGTCACAATTTCTTGCAGGTGCAGCTAAAAATTTAGTTCCCGTATTAGCATCTTTGCCATCAAGTAGATCAATGTCCAGTCCGCCATGTTCACCGAAGGGCGCCAGGTCTCGACGAGGAACTTGAACAATCCAGAATTACTATTAATCCCACTATAGAAATGTCGCCGAGAAAAAAACCACGCAAACAGCAACTTACAGGCGTAGAATTAACTGAACCTAAATTTACGGAGGAAGAGATGCAATTTCTCACTGAGGAAAAATTGAAGAAGGAGAATAAAGAGGAATCAAAAGAGAAGTTGTCCGACAAAAGGCAACTCTCCAATGTACAAAGTGATATTAAATCATCTACTCAACAAACAGAACTCACAATAGCACGATCACGGCCTGTACCAAGTTTATTAGGTATGTATATGTGTGTATGTATGTATATATATTAGGTGCGCAACTAAGTTCTCGCTGTTATTTTGATGAAAATGCATCAAAATAACAGCGAGAACTTAGTTGCGCACCTAATATATATGTATATATATATATATATGTATATATATAATACAAACATCTTGTTCCATTATATCCATCACATCGTTCGTATTTTTTATGCTCTAATTATGCTCTCCCTAATCATATGTTTTTAGGCTCTTCTTGGAAAAACAAATGGACAGTTAGATTACAGCATTATAGAAGACCTAGCGATGTCCGACCTCGTGAGGAAAGAAGACCAACAGTTGCTGAACTGGCGCAACAGAAATACGTATTACAGAGATTAAATGGATGGAAAATCTATCACCTCACTACACAAATGGAAGATATCGCATCCCTTGAAAAACAGGTACATTGATTCGTCATATTATTTAGATTTTCCTTCAATTTGTTTACATTTACACAGCGAATCATGTTTGTATGATACATTCGTAGGTTCATGAAAAATTAAAAACGACACTCACGCTACTGGAATCACAGCAAACCGTTAAAAGTAAACATAGTGATGGTCTCGAACGCGTAAATGAACTGATTAAAGGGAATATGCAGCGCAGTAATTTAATCAGTGAGGGCATGAACGAAGCACGTACACAACTAGTTGCTATATTTCAACATAAAGGCCCTATTACTGATCTTTTGCAACGCTGTGGTAACAAACGAGCACAGAAAAAGAGGGATAAATGAGCAGTGCTGAATAAATACGTAGAATCTTTATAAACGAACTTTGTTGAAGGGAAGTTCAAAAGGGAACTATTTTTATCTGTGTCACAGATTCTATATATAGGAATAAATAAATGGTTTTATAAGTCTAAAAAAGACATGACTATGTCACTATATAATAATATGTTTATAATTTTATTATATAAATCTATAACGTTTTTATTTTAATATAATACTTCTTACTCCTCTAGCCAAATGTCTTTCTATTTATTTACTTTCTGCCTCTAATTAATGCACATATCTCTGTTTAGACACAACGTGACTTCTTAGAAAAAAAAATTAAAATATTTATTAAATACAAATATAAATATTTATTAACAAAATACAATTCAAATAAACATTGACCATGTTAAGGACAATATTTATTTTGCAACTGTTGGAAGTTTTCTTCGCTGAGAACTATTCTTCTAAATTCAAATGTTTAATCGATAGATTACAAAGAAAAAAACATTTTGCGGAAATATTTTTCTTTGAAAACATTCTATTGAACCCATGATGGAAGTATATTCCATCACGATTGAACTTGATCTGTGATCTCTCTTCTCTTCGTTTCTAAGGTTACCATGGAGATAACAAACCTTTTAAAACAAGCTTGGTAATAGAAATCCTGATAATTATTAAGTACATATATAACGATTCTATGAAAATATATATTTCGTAAAGTTCAGCAAATCTTGAAACAATATGTGGTGGGGATATAGTCAACCGCTAGATTTACAAGCTGAAATAACACAAACAGAAGATTGTATTTTAAACAATCTTGAAGTATTGATTGTAGGTTCTGGTGATGCACGACATATCGTAAAAACGCTAGCTTCATCTTACACACATCCTGTTCGAACTGTAACGTATCACATTATTGAACCGACTTTGGAGCAAGTTGCTAGATCGATACTTTTATTAAGCCTTTGCTTAGAAAAAGATTTGGGTATGTATTCGTGAATATTAAATTTATCAAGCCTATGTTAGAGAAATCAATGGAACTACTATATATAATTAATATATCAAAGGACTGCAAGAGGCGACGCGATATTATTTGGAGATTTTAGGGAACACTCTTTTGAGACCGGCTACGGCTAAATATTTAGCAAAATGTGCCAAACAACTGATCGATATTCCGACCCGCACTGTTGAGTGTCCATGGTTATCGTTAGAAAAATTTAAGCATAAGGATAGGGATAATTTGGAATCTATTTTTAAGTAAGTTGACGTTAAGTTTAAGGAGATATGGTAATAAAATAAAATAGTTTCTAACAGTGGTGGATTTTGGTATCTGAGACGCTCGAGCAAAACTTAATTTGAAAGATTCTACAATACAAAGCATCTAGAGACAGACTTGAAAAATTTGCCACTAGTTTTAAGTAAAGGTACTTAATGCTTCCTTAGACATTTATGTATATTTCTGTATTAATTGTTGTAATAATTTCTTATAAGATTTTGGGCACGTGCAACATGCGAAGGAGTTCCCATTGTGAATTATTGGGATCGCAGAATCAGGAAGTTATTAAAAACGAGATATGACTACAGAGAAGGTGTTTTTGATTGGGATTATCATATGATTTTAAAACCCAGATGTACCACTAATCTTACTATACAAGAATATAGGTATGTTTATACATTGTAAGCAGTTAAAACTGCATATAAAATTGTGAACAAGATGATATGCTTCTTTAGTTGAAATTGAATGATTATCTGAATATATCAATGAGAAAAAATAAAATATGTTATTATAATTATTAGATTTTGGAGAAATAACGGAATAGCTTTTACATGGCTCGAAGGTGAACCAGTTAGAAGCAATCCAACTCTGTTAAATAATATAATTCAACTTGGACCTGGTTTTATACATTATGCATACTTGGGAGACATTGTGAATGGTCCGTTTTTTACATGGGCTGCTGTTGGAAAAAACGAAGACAAGTAATAAAATATATTCAAAAGAAATATTTACATGCTTGCTTCCCATAAATAAAAATTCTTAAATCTTAAAGACGTAGAGCAACTGACATTGCTGAACGTGAGATAATGCGTGCAATTTATGAAATAAGAATGAAAGAGCCACTATGTGAAGATCACGTCGGTGCTCATAGGGATGTCTCAATTTTAAATGGCATTATAGTGAGCGAAATGCCGGATATTGAAATGGAAAACGAATCGTGGATAAGTACTGGAGATAAATCTAAACAAGATAAAAAGATTTCTTGGATGGAAGTACCAAATCACAAGGTACATTTTGTATTGTTTTAATAGCCAATGTGAATTTGACAACACTTATTTTTAGATAATATTTCATCCTATAACGTCGCTGGAGTCTCTCAAGTCTAAATGCGAATATATAAATAGATTCCATCTGATTTGGGTGGCGCATAATATGACAAAACAATTACCAAATTTAATACCATTGATATCTGCTGATGCACCGATGATTGTGGAATTGCGTAAACATATGGCAGATCTTCGCAAAAAGGATTTGCAGGACTTTACTAAAGAATTGAAAGAGATCGCGCAGACGAATGGACTCCGTTCACTCTACGACTTCGATTCCAATGTACATACTTTTGCTCGTTTTTGCAAGAATTAAGTCCTTGAATAGTTAAATATATCTTAATAGATTAATATTAATTGTAAATATATGTTTCACACATATTATTATAAGCTAAAATAAAAATTTAATTGACAATACAAATATTATACAGAATATAAAATGTCAGTATACAATTGTCGAAAAAAATTAAGGATTTCCAATCTATATTAAAGACAATCTCTTTAAATAATAATTCTTTTTTAAAAATGAATGTAATTTATTTTATAGCTCGTTTTTGCCAAACAATAATACAATAATACAAAAAAAAGGGCCATAAGTAATTAACGGATGTAGATAAAAAATAAAAGTAAATTTTATTACAAAATATAAAAGGATTTTGACTCGCAATCTTTTTCAGCAAAATAAATATATATTTCTTCAAATTAATATAATTAATGTAAAAAAAAAATAATTAATTTAATTCTTATTAATTTAAAATAACCATTCGCAGCTTTTAATTACTGATTATTATGGATATTTTTAAAATTATTTTAAATGTATTTATTATTTTGTTGAAAAAAATTATCAGTCAAAATCCTTTGCTATTTTATAACAAAATTTACTTTTATTTTTTAGAGCCTTTCTATTACAGGAGGTGTGCGAATAATTTAAAATCGAATTTTATGGTGAATTCTATCACTCACACTACATCAGTGCATATTAAAAGCTGCTTTATATAAAATATCTCAATGCAGTGATATAATATAATAAACTTTGACAATGAAATAATATTATATATATATACATTTTATTAAGTGACGTGACAATATCATTAGTAGATAGTTAATCGTTTAAAATATTTACTTTTACATTTAACTTTATTAATTTCATATAAAGCAGCTTTTAATATGCACAAATCTAGTGTAGTGCAAGTACGGTGCAAGTGACTAAATTCGCTAATAATAGATTCAATTCGATTCGTTCGTTTCCGTGATTCGAGAAATCGAAATAATAAATTTAAAATTTCGAGTGGTTCATCGGTAGTTCGATTTCAAATCAATGGTCTATTTTATTTGCTTCATTTATTTGCTTCACATGGCTCTCGTAAGTTGAAAATGATTTATTTTCTCTCTATTGAAAATATTTTTAAATTAGCTTTTAATGTAAATTCAGGAAAATTTTATTCAAATTCAATTTGTTTTTGAATAAAAAAGATTCGATTCGATTCATTTTTGAATATATTATCAAAGATTTGGTTCAATTTAACCTCATATATGCTTAATTCGCACACCTCTAGTATATTATTTAAAATAGCTGTAATATTATATTTTATATTCTTGCATTGGCTAGTTCCTTAGTTATTTCGGACACTACGCTCTTATCTTTTTCTTCCGCCTCTTCTTCAGATTCTGTATCACTTGGTGGAAAGTCAGAAAGTGCTAAAGAACACAAATATCATATATATATGTATATGTATATATATATATATATGTATATATATATATATATATACACAAACAACGCACACACATACACATATATATAGGATAATTAGATGTTCTTACCAAGTCTGTCAATTTTTTCCTGCTGTATATCCTTTAAAAACTTTTCTTGTACAGCTATTACTTCTTCAGTATTTGCGCAACGAGCGTAATTTTCCAACAATTCACTGTTTAGTTCTAGGAACAAGTGTCCCCAACTAAATTTGTCAAGAATCAGGTCAGCTTCGTCTGGAAATCCCGTTATGATTAAAGTAGCTGCAATAGCCTCCGCACAACTCAATTCGCAGGGTTTTGTCGAATTGGCAGAAACCAAGAAAGGCAATATGCGAGGATGGGATGTCCTTACTTTGTTGAAGGGAGTGTCGTCGATACGCGACCAACTACAATTAATAACTGCACAACCATACTTCTCTACAATCTTGCGATCCAATGGAGTCACGCACTGCGACAAACATTTTATCTAAGAATCTAGACAACAAGATTATTGTTATTTATTGTTTCTTTATTTTACCTTATCGCTTACTGGAGTAAGGCAAAGGCCTGAAAATCGTGTACTCAGTCGCAGCAACTTTGTTAAACCATATCTCACTAACTTTTTGCCAGTACCATGTTTGGACTGTTTGGAGTTGGAGCAGTGCTCTAAATCCCACATAGCCACAGGGAATGGCAACGGCCACTCGTTTACCGTCTCTGCAAAGAGTACATTGTATATTGTACTCCCAATGTACAATATGTACATTGCAAAACACGAAACTCATCTTAATCTAACCTGTCTCATCGTTTTCCTTATCCGAGCTGTCAGAACAGTCAGACATTCTGTCCCTCTTCTGGTGATACCTCAGCTCCTTGCAGAGAACATTACGGGGCCTCCGTTGCAGCAATTTATTCTTGTCTTTCTTTCTACGTCCCGACATTTTCAGGTACTCTACGCTATTCCGTTTCCTTCCTTCAATATATGTTTTTTTCAAATATGTTTATCACTGTTTACGTCTTATCGCAGCTTAACCTAACATCTGTTGTCATATATACGTATATAATACCGCAGGAATGTCAAACATATGAAAACACAACTTAACTGTTGACTGTTTAATTTCTTTGTATAATTGATTCCGCGCGTAGTTGTTATACGTTGAATATTTAGAGCTCTACAATTACATATTAACCATTACAGTTATACATATATAACGTATCTATTGGTAAATGTTTCTTTACCATCTTACTTTAAATTTTGATAAAAATATACCTATTCATTCGATACCATTTTGTGCAGAAATAAAAATGTGCTTTTACTGATTTGACTTGAAACATATCATCACAAAATTGTTGAGCATCACAAAATTGTTTCAAGGAGAATCGGACAGAATAATGTCTACTTATACGATGGAAGATGTAATACAAACGACAGAGTACGATTCGGCTAGAGATGACGATTCTCTATACGTCGCTTCGAAATGCTGGAAACGTCTTATGGATGCTGCTATCAAAGTATGTAAGCGATTTTCGACAGTGTCTGACGCGATATTTATGTTGCAATTACTTACCGTGTCGCATTTGATAATCATATTTTTAGACTGGCTACAGAGAAGGGATACAAGATGGAGCAGACTCTGTGCTGCAAGAGGGATTCGACATTGGTTACAAAGACGGTTTCGAGACCGCTTTCACTTTGGGAAGGTACAAGGGTATGGTTGCCACGTTCACATTAGAACATCCCACAGATGTGGCAGCTGTTCTTAAAAGAGCCAGACGTGGTGCGTGCCAGATATGCGAGGTGGAATCGCGAAATGAAACTTCCAATTCGTATGAGAAAGCTCCATTCTCCAAAGTCCTGAGCGAGCAGAGAGAACACTCTGCAGAAGTAATAAACAGGCTACATAAATATCTTGAACCAATCTTGAAGAAATCGGGCATTGAAATCAATTCAACTCTTTAGTTAATATATTTAAGTAGCAATTTACAGATTTAATAATTAGTTAAATAATTAGTTAAATTACCGAACAAATAATTAATTAAATTATATATATTAAAAATAATGTTTTTAATATATATTGCTACAAAAAGTTAATCTCCTGTAGAAATTTTTATTGAGACACTCGAACAGTTTTTCGCGATTCAATACAGAGATAAATGATAATGAACTCTTTTTTTTATAAATATAATCCTTCAGGAGAACCTTCCTTCTTCCGATATAACACACTTTCCTTGGATTTCTTAAAATCGTCGCTGGTAACCTTCATACGTCGTTCACGTAGAGCCATTAAACCAGCCTCGGTACATATTGCCTGAAATAAAAATTTTTAATCCATTTTAATGAAGCAATAAAAAAAGGAGGATTTACAATTTTGCTTTAATTCGTTTGGCATTGATTTATTCTTAGAACTATAAATATTTTCTCTTATTTTAATAAAAAAGAACTGCAAGAGAAAGTATAAAATACATGTATAAGCAGAGTTAAATTTTTACAGAAGATTATCCTACCTTGATATCCGCACCAGAAAGATCATCCTTTGCCATAATTAATTCCGCAAGATTCACGTCAGGCGCCAAAGTCATTCTACTTGTGTGAATATTGAAGATTCTTCGTTTAGTTTTCTCATCTGGCAGCGGAAATTCTATTTTTCTATCGATTCGACCCGGTCTAATTAAAGCAGGATCTAAGGTCTCTATTCTGTTAGTAGCCATAACCACTTTCACGTCGCCTCTACTATCAAAACCTAATAATAATTTTTCAAATTTAACATCTGATGTTTATTATAATATCTAATATGTTTATTAATATCTAACATAAAGTTTACTAGTATAAAAAGATTTTTGTCTGAATTTTGAATTGGAGGAAATTAGCATACCGTCCAATTGATTAAGCAATTCCAACATAGTTCTCTGAATCTCCCTTTCACCTCCACTATTGCTGTCGTATCTTTTCGTTCCTACCGCATCTATTTCATCTATAAAGACAATAGAAGGAGCATGCTCCTCGGCAACTCTGAAAAGCTCTCTTACAAGTTTTGGACCATCACCTAAATATTTCTGTATAAGTTCAGAACCGACAACTCTCAAAAATGTAGCCGATGTTTGATTAGCCACAGCCTTAGCGAGCAGTGTCTTCCCTGTGCCAGGTGGTCCATAAAGTATCACACCTTTTGGAGGTTTAATACCCATTTCCTCATAATATTCTGGATGAGTTAATGGTAATTCTACGGATTCTTTAATCTCCTGAATTTGGGTATCAAGACCTGAAAATATTCATGAATCATATTCTTTGATTTTTACATAACAATTCCTTGATAATTTTACACAATGTATGCACTTATCCAAAAGCAATATTTCTTCAATTTATAAGTAAAATTTTACTTCATTAAGTTACTTCAATTTAGACATATTTTAAAATCAAATTTTATGCGTACGTCTTGAATTAAGTTTCAATCAAAATTTAACTTGATTTGAAATCTTGTGTTTCCAAGTCCCTTGCTAAAGATTATATAAAACCTTGACACAATTTTATAACAAGATATAATTAATTATAAATTTATAATAATTTTATATTTATCTATATAAATCGGAATTTATATAGATAAATATAAAATATTACAAAATATTTTGAATATAAAACAGATATATACATACCTCCGATATCAGTGTAGGTTTCCTGAGGAGCTTTTTCAAGTTTCATCACTGTAACCATAGGATCTGTATCATCTCCTAAAACGCCAACAACAGCATGAACTTTATGATTTAACAGTACAGAGCAACCAGGTTCCAATTGATCCTTATCCACAAATGACAAGATGGATACGTAATGCTCAGAGCCAACTGAAGTAGACACTATCGCATGATTGTCATCGATTATTTCTTCCAATGTTCCAACGGACATTGGTGTACCACGAAGATCGTCCACTTTCGATCTCTCTTCCTCATTCTTCTCTTCCTGCGGCTTCAGGCGCTCCTGATTCCTAATAAACTCCTCCTCCATCAGTAGATAATCCTTTATGCGTTCCATTTTTAATAATTTCAGTCTACAACGTGTGTGAGGAGTCACTTGTGGCAATTTCAGAGCTGCATCTGGCCCCTTAGTACGCCTCTTTTTTTTACCCACTCTCGTGGGTATCGGCGGCTCGTACTTCTTCTTCTTGTCCTTGTCATCCTTCTTGTCTCCTCCACTGCCACCAGTTCCAGATTGATTCTGACCCTATGTGACAATTTATTATTATCAAAGAATTTCACTGATAAATTAAAAATTGTATTAAAAGAAATATCGTAATCGTTTGAGAAAAATCAAATTCTTTTTAAAACTTAAAAAAATGAATTTAAGATAGAGCAAACGTTTGAAGGATTTGGCTAACCTAAATCTAAACGATCGATAAATAGAGTAGATCCTAGACAATTAGCAAATGTTTCTTGTTCTCCTGAATAGCAAAGCCACTTCATGTTTTACATTAAATAATAATCAATTGACAATTTTGATAGACTCACCATCTTCCCTTACGATACTCAATCTGACTTATATGTGCTTGCTGCTCTTCGAAACGGCAGAGTCATTTGCTAGCGATTCGATTGTGTACAGTCGATAAGAAAAGATGGCATCTGTTTTCCCGCTGCGAGAAGTTGCGATTGCGGATAAAGGAAACATCTTTCAAATTTATTTTAATATAATAAGTTTCTTCGAATTTATATAGAAAAATCTTATCTATTAGCTGAAAGAACTATTAGTTAGAATTAACGATATGAAATGTACTCAATTTATACGAGAAATGACCGGATCATTTTGAGAAATTTGAGAAATATTCACATATTCTTTCTCATTTTTGAATAATCGAAGATGTCTGCGAGTGAATAATTTTATATTAAAGAAGCGTTTAAAATTTGTGGAGCAATTTATATTATTTATTATTTATATTATTTATATTATTTATTTTTCTGGTACTTTGTACGTAATAAGATCTATTAACTGAACAGGGAATTAAAAATGTAAAATGTACTTAATTTATAGACTCAAAAAAATAATCAGGAAATCTGAGAAAATTATTCTTGCAGGTATGTGTGTATGCGTGCGTGCGTGTATGTGCGTATGGTGTGTGTGTGTGTGTGTGTGTGTGTATTATACATATATTCTTCCTCCAAAGTTATAATTGAACATGTCTAGTGTGAGTAAAGAATTTTTTTTAGAAACGTTCATAAAATTTTTCAGGCAATTTATATTTTTTTCAGGTACTTTGTGTGCGCACACACACAAAATTATATTTGACAGAATTAAAGATGTAAAACCTACCCAATTTACAGACACGAGAAACGATTGTATCACTCTGGAAAGTCTGCGACAATTATTCGTACAATAATTCTTCTTCCTCTCATTTCTGAAGTCATAATAATTAAAAGACAACTAACGCGAGTCATGACAAAAAATTTAAAAAAATAAAATACAAAAAAATTCTTAAAAACTTATTTGATCATTCATATAATTGTAAGTAATTATTATTAAATATTAGCGATTAATTACGATCTATGCCAACACTGTACTGTTAAAATGAAACGAAATTCGATATTTAATTAGCGTGCTTTATATGCGTTTCCTCGTTAATATACAGTATCGAACGATATACAATATATTTTACAATGAGACTGAAAGAGCATTCGCACATCTTCACGCATAAAGCTGTGTTTGATCTGATGCAAACATAATGATGGAAACGCTCGCGAGCTAACACTCGCCGACTTCGCCGTTATCAATAACAGCGCAAATGGATTTGTATCAAATACTCAATGGCGACTCAAAACGTTCGTCGCAGGACTTGGCAGTGTACTTTTATAAATTAATGCGTGATTAAACGGCTCTTCCATCCCATCCCTCCCACATACATACTCTATCATAAAAATATATCTTGTTCACATTGACTACGTTTACACGGCTCGATTTATACTAAAATTACAACATCGATGTTATCAAACTGGCCAGTCGTAGCTATTCCTCTAAAGAATGGAATAAATGTGATTGGCCAGTTTCATAATATCGATGTTACAACCTCGGCGTAAATCGAGTTGTGTAAACGTAGACGACAGTTGATTTCTTTTTTACTTAATAAACAATTTTTGATTTACAAAATTACGAATGAGTCATTTTCCTTCGAATGCAAAATTCCTCACATGCAACATATCTCCCCCCCCCCCCTCTCCGAGATGCTCGATATATAACGTACTGCCAACAGTAATATCACTTCCACGTATTTAAATATTTATCAAATCACGTTACTTATCCTACGGCCGCAATGTGACGCACAATTCAACAACGCTAAAGAGACTTATATTGGTGAGATTTTATTTTAGCTTATGGGTCTACATCTAGAGTACTTAGGATAAGTACCTTCTAGCCCTTTTTCGGCTTCTCTGTACTCCGCCTTTCGACACCGATCGACATCAATATGGCGACCAAAATACGAATGCTCACAAGAATATGATTATCGGTTCGATATTTATTCGGGTTGCCGAAAAATATGTGGAGAAATTCCAAAAACAAAAGTTACGTCGTGCAGCAATATACAGACTATATTACGACTGTAACATGCAAAGCGAATTCGCCTTACAATATTCTCGTTGCAAGAATTCAGAATAATAGACAGGATTATTTCGTTATTTATGACTACGCTTGTCACATCCCACGTATGGCTTGAAGATTAATGGTATTCGAAATAAGCTAGAGACGTTCTTTAGAGGGAACGTTCCAATGATTATAGGTATTTGGATGCGGAAAGACTGCCTGTCGAGATTCCAGATTCTCGCATCGCATTTTTGTTTATCCAATGGTGAACAATCACATCGTTAACATGTGCGATAAATGTATCCCAAGTTATTAAAGGCCAGCCAAAATAATTCTAGGATCTTCCACAGCGTCTTTGATCTTCCTCAGGAACATCACAGCCTCACGTCCATCAATCAGTCGATGATCATACGTCAAAGCTACATACATCATTGGCCGAATTTTAACCTGAGAATACAAACGTTTGTAAACAATTTTACAATGCAATTATGAATTTCATAGTTTAAATTAAAGGAGAATAAATAATTAAAGATTTTAATGAAAAGATAAAAAAAATTAAAGGTTTAATTCAAAGAATTAAGAAATTGAAGGATCTTAAAGCGCCTATTAGTAAACTTTACCTCTCCCTTAATGGCGATAGGTCTGTCAAAAACGCCGTGCATACCAAGAATCGCGCTCTGTGGTGGATTAATAATGGGAGTTCCCAGCATCGAGCCAAAAACGCCACCATTGCTTATTGTAAAAGTACCGCCATCCATATCCTCGATGGTGATTTTCCCTTTTCTAGCCTTTTCACCCAGAGCGGCCAAAGCGATTTCAATTTCGGCGAAATTTTTATTTTCTACGCTACGAAGTACGGGTACAACAAGTCCCTTCGGTGTCGCGACTGCCACACTAATATCTACGTAATCTCTATATACTATATCGGTACCGTCTATCACGGCGTTCACCACGGGTTGGTCTTTTAGAGCATAGGCACTGGCCATGACGAATGGACTCATGAACCCTAGCTTGATACCGTACTTTTTCGTAAACGATTCTTGATGCGCCTTCCGAAACTCGATAATGCGACTGCAAATTAATGATGTACATTAATGATTACATGAAAGATAAGAGTATAAACTAGGGCTGATGATTTAGACCGGATAATAAGATACCCGGATACCAATAATGCCCAATAACATTTTATATAGATATGTATAGTATTTCTAAATATAGTTTTCAATGTAGTGAAAATTATTACGTGCCGTTCACTATCAGATTTGAAACGCAATCATAAATTGAAACTAAAAATATCAAAAATTAAAATGATCGATCAATAAATTAATGCCTTTGTGATCGATTCAAAGGAGTTTTAATTCAACGTAACTCAATTTATATTGTTAAAGTGATTGTTAATTTTTAATAATGATAATCCAGCTTCTTGAAAAAAGCTCTTAGAATTTAAGATTCTTAAAATAATTTAATTTGCGCTCGTATGTGCAAACACCCGCATATTTTTACACAGAAAGAAATGGTTTTGCTGAAATATCTACAAATTTGATGTGACTATAAATGCAATTTTCTTAATTGCACACCGCTTTCTGCCGAATTTGAAACGCAATTATGAATTGAAATTAGAAATATTAAATAGTAAATTAAATTATTTTAGTATTATCATTAATTTTTAATAACTCTAAATACATTAATTTTAAAAAATCTCTCAATATATACCGTTTATTTGCTACAATAGCAATATAATTAAAAAATTATCATTTTTTTCAATTGCTTTAAAAAAAATAGAGCAAAAAAAAAGAAAAAAAGAAAAACGTATTATACTTCAAAAGAACAAAGAAGAAAAATATCGTTCTTCTATAACCAATTATTATACCAAAATTCTATTTTTAAATTAACATTATAAAATTTTAATGATTCAAAACATTCAAACATTATTTTCTAAAAAATTTTTAGTTGTATTGTTGGTGTAATAAATGAACAATAGATACATATGAAATATAGAGTATTGTAGAGTTTCCCATTGAGACACAATTAATAAAGTTATTAACATATAAATCATCTTTGTTGTTAAATAATGATTCAATGTTAAATAAGGATTCAATGGATAGATTTAGCAACCGCTCACTAAGCGCACATTTTGTGTGTGTGTGTGTGTGTGTTACACTGTATGTGATTTTTATATTAAGCAATAATAGCTTGAAATTACCTCATGTCAATTTCATTAAACGTGGTCAGCATAGCGTTCGTGTTCTGTGCGTCCTTCAGACGTTCCGCAATACGTAGACGCATTCTATTCATTTTCACTCGCTGTTCTGTCCTGGTGCCGATTATTTCGCGCGTATAATCGGTAGGAGGTAGCTGAACTTTTGCGCTTTCCAACGACTAAAAGTACATCATTTTCATAATATTTTCAAATTGTATAATAACTAATGCATAATAATAACTGATATTTACCTGGGCATGTTTAATAGCCGCAACGGGCATAGATGCAGTAGGTGCTTGTGGAGATGGCGGTTCAGTGGCGGGAGATGGGATCGGCTCTGCGGATCTCGGCAGTGGAGGTGCCACACTTGGGGCCGATGATGTCGGAGAAGATGCAGGTTTTGGTGCTTTTTCTGCCGGTGCGGCCGCAGGAGGTTGTGGCGTTTTTTCCGCAGGTGCAGCACCGCCGGTTGCACCGATGTCGATGGTGCACAACTTCTGTCCCGGCTTTACAGTATCGCCATCCTTAAAGAACAGCTCCTTTATGACACCAGGTCCGGGCGACGGTACAGGAACAGAAGTCTGTGAGCAAGCGCGATTAAATTTTGAATAGTTTGTAATATCCCTCGTAATAATCGCGATTATTCTTACTTTATATTACGTTTATTCTACAATTGTATAAGCAATTGTATAATTGTAAGTGATTGCTCGGCGTTAATTTATAAAAATTAACCAAACTAATACCGAATATTCTTCTTATATTCGACTATGATTCGATGATATTTAATTCTTACAATTACAAGCACTTACAACTACACTTATGAGCAATTATAAAACAGGTTTTACACAATTGTAGAATGGTTTTTACAAGCGAAAGAAACAAGAAACGTCCTAGATGCTTGCCTTGTCCGTTTCGATCTCGCAGAGGACTTCGTCTTCCTTTACCTGGTCGCCGACCTTCTTCTCCCACCTCACGTCGCCCTCGTTTACACTTTCTGCAAACGCAGGAACTACAACTTCCCTGATCTCCCCTGTTTAGATAATACAAATTATACATGATTAAATTAACTGATTAAATTACGTCTTACATAAGATGTCATACTTACATAGTGCTGAAGTCGAACGTATGTGTCTCGCTTGATTTATCCAATAGTAGTTTGCCTTGTACTTTCTACATCTGGATGTAAAAAAGAATATTATAATCTTTAATTCTTCTACATGTACCTTCATCTTCTGAGTAACGATCATATGAACTCATATAAACTTTTTCCCATAAGATGAAAATATGAGAAAATTTTTAATATTGAAGTTAATGAAATTTTTACTTTCTACGTTTCCATCTTAGATTATATATATATGTGTGTATGTTCGGCATCTTGCTTCTAAAGGCTCAATCGTATAACTTTTTCGAGAGAGAAGTAGAATCTTGAAAAGTAAAATTTTTTTGAACATATATACAATATATACATGTACTATGTGAATATATATGTACATTTATACATAAAAATTTTCACATTTGACTTAAAAAATTTTCATATTTTTACTCTAAAGAAATGTTGCGTAACAAATACTAAAGAATTGAAAGTAATTAGTTCAACAAAAAAAACTATATGTATAATTCCTAGTATATAAATCATTATCAAACTTCTACATATTAGTGACATGTGAAAGATAAAAAATAAATACATGTAGACACAAGTCGCAAATAATGCTACTTACAACGGAGCTTTGGCATTGGGCACGTGTTCAGCATGGATAATGCAAACAGGGATAAGAGTGTGCCCTATAAAAATTTATTATAATTATTATTTTTCGCTGATGAGCTTTTCCAAGTTTAATTCGTTATTTCTCACAGCTGTAGCTTTCAAAATCCTTGTTATATATACATCAGTCTTATCAGTGTCTTATCATCTCTTATTAACCTTACCTTGACTACATAACGATCTCGCGACCTGTAAAAAAAACGAATGCAGGAGCTAGTTAATTTTATTCTAGCCGACAATGTATTTAGTTTAATATATATAGCAACATATGGCTTAAAAAATAGTTTGATTTTCAGACGAAAAAAAAGAGCGATTGATCTTATGAAATGCATGATGATAAAAATAGTCATTATTTCAAAAGAGCGAGAAAAGAAAGGAGAGAAAGAAAGAATCAATATCAAGCAAGCAAAGTATAAGCATCAGGTGCTTATCATAATCTGATTCATGCAGGTGAAACAAGGAAAACTTTTCGCTTGATTGACAGACTATGTCAATCCGCATGAGTCACAATTGGATATTATTGGGTCGAGACATATTATGTAATAACCATTGTCGCGATATGAAAAGCCAGGAGAGGTTCTAACGAATCTTGACGAGCAAACAGAACCTCGACTCGCGGCGGCGAGCATCCTTTAAATTAATCCAGGACGAATAAAATGTCGATCATCAGCAACTGCTACCGTGGACAAGAGCGGACAAAGAAGGAAGTGATGCAGAGCGAGGGAAACGGCAACAGCTCGTTATCGTACTCACCTCGGTCCGCAACACGCTGCTCCGCGTGATTACGCGAGGCGCGAATCGCGAACAATTGGACAGCATCGCAGCCATCCTCAGGCAGGCGAAGCGTGCAACTGCGCGCACACACACACACACATACACACAAACAACACACTGGGACGTCCACTCGCGAACGATGAACGGTGAGCGGACAACAAGAACGACGGGGCGCGTGCCCACGGTTTCTCTGATTTCTCGTTCGTGACGATAACGACGAAACGAGACCGAAACGTCCGAACCGGGAGTCGGGAGACTAGCAGAGACTAGTCCGACATCTGACTAGTGCCGGAAAGATTGCATCGGATCACAGATGTGCGGCTGTGTACGGCGGCATCTGTTAAGAATGGATTACACTACCATTTTACCTGTATATTCCTGTATATTCCATAAATTCCCAGCAAATTTTCAGCAATTCTCAAGTCACAGACTGGCTGCTTTTTTTTTTTCTAGGAAATGTATGTCTATCGATGTTATTCCAATTTTAATCTTCTACTGATATTCATTTTTTTCTAATCTTAAGAATTGAAAAGATGAAGAGTAAATTAAAACCAGATTTAAGTCATTAAGCATTAAGCTATATGTATATTGATAGAAACGGGCACTCATTGAACAACAAAGGCTGCTTTTTTTAGAAGGCAATCGTCACAAGTATTCTGTCTATTCATTAAATGCTAATGCTTTTTAAATCATTTCCACTAATGTAGATTAACTTTAATCTCAATTCAACTCACTCTTCATCTTTTTTTTTTAATTCTTAGACTAATTTAATCTCGGTTCAACTTTTTACTCTCTTATCTTTTTTAATTCTGAAAAAAAAAGAAAAAGATAAGTTAAACTAAGATTAAAGTTAATTTGGTGGAACCAAGTCTTAGAGCCTAAAAAAACTATGGAAAATTAAATCAAGATTAAAGTTGATCTATAGTGGAAGTGGGTACAAAAATAAGAATAAAATGATATTTAAATTGTGTTCCCTTAGGAAAGAATCGAAGATAGAATGAAAGCAGCTTTGCAACTGTTGTAAAATTCTTGAATATGATCGGTTTATACATTTAGATCCAATGAGGAACTAAGAGCAAGACCAATCGTATTGAAGAATTTTACAACAGTTGCAAAGCTGCTTTCTCTGCTGAACGCAGCCAATGATGTGTCTTTTAAAAGGAAAGCAGCCTATGTCTCAATCTTTTCATCTTTGCAATGTTTTTTAATGCATGTGTGTTTCCAAATATATCAGAAGGAATGAGAGAGAATGTAAGAAAGATTAAAACTAATTAATTTCTGTGAGAACTGGAATTGCTATTGTGATTGAATTCAATATCTTAGATGTTGAAGGAAATTCACATAACTTGATAGAATAGTATTTAACAATATACAAAAATCTTTAAGAATACATTACATTAGTTTCAATATAATTTTTATAAACTTCATTATTTATTTTTTGTAGTATATGCACAGTTTTTATTTCCTGTGTACCTTTGGCAAATAGTGGTGTTTATCCACATTAACAACTTTTTATTGTACATCTCCTCAGAGATGCACGTGACAGACATTGCAAACACAATCAGTCTTGCATTCTCGATAAACTGTGCAGTTATCTGTTCTGGTATCTTTTGAAAGTTTGTGTCGAGACACGGATATCCAGTGACATATACGTAGTCGAACGGTTGAATTTCTTTACCCAATAAACCACCATTCGTCTCTGACCACCACTCATTCTCCAAAACCTATCATTAGAAATAATTCATCTATATTGTTGCAATAAATACATATAAATCATAGAATTTATTGATTTTATAATTTACAAATTTATAAATTCTCTTATAGCGAATTCACTTGCATTATACTAAATTAAATTATTAATGCACTAAAACTGTTATACATGAAATTAGCAAAGTTAAATGTGAATAGATATTTTAAACAATTAAATATCAATAATGATATTGTCATGTTATTTAACGAAATATATACTTCAAAGTTGATTACATTATACCATTATATTTAGATACTTTATATAAAGTAACTATTAATGTGCACTAATCCAGTGTAACACGAGTGACCGAATTTACTATTAAATTCTTACAGCTATATCATGTAAAGATGCATCACGTGGATAGGAGAATTTTGGACGTGTCTCAGGAAACTTCTTTGGACAGCTTCTATTCGCTTTTGCCTCACTTGTCCTTACATTTTCAGCTTGGTTCCTGTATTTCTTATCAATTTCCTGCCGTTTTTTCAAAGAGTACATATATTGTTCCAATTTATAATTAACCTGTGCCACTCCTGTCCCATCCTCAACTGTAAGAGAATCCAAGAGTTCAAGTATCTTCTTGGATATTATTAAACTTATTGCTCATACTTTAGGTCGATTCTTTTCAATTGAACTTGTTGCAAATTCATCTTCCTTTTTCTTCTCTCCCCATTGGAGAAAAAAGAGGGACAGTGTAAGAAGTTGTTGAAAAAAAGGAAACAAGTTTCTTTCCTTACTTGTCAGAAACAGATTGTTGACATTGTGCTTAACATGCGTAACAATTCCAACTAGTTCGATTTTATGTACTTTAATGTGAGGCATATTAAATGGGTGAAAATCTATATAACGGCCTTCCTTGTAAGGTACTAATCGATATAGTTCCATGATGAGCATTGGTATATTCAATGTCGTTCGTGAATCTGAAAATAGAACCGACATTGTCATATGCCCAAAGACAACACAAATTAACAATAATGTTACATTAATGTTATAATTTCTCACTCAATAATATAATTGTAATATAGCACATGTTAATACCTAGGGTACCTTCTAGCAAGAAACACAGTTACTCCATTCTTTAGAGAGATAACTATGATTGACCAGTTTCGTAACTACGGATTTAATGTTATTAAATCTGATTAAGGATATCCATGTACATGCAGTCATAGATGACACAAGTTTGTTTACATTGTATGTTCAACTGCTTACATGCTTCAACATGCTCCAACATGCTCCAATCATCGCTCCTACTCACTTTAATACGTTGGTTGGAATGAGTAGAAGCTATTTTGAAACATGTGACGTGAAAAAACCTATTGTGTAATATAGTGATCATTACATCTTTATTGTTTATCAAATCAAAATGAAATCACTGTGTTATTACAATATACTAAGTATGCCTCTTGCTGGAAAGCATCATTAATGCATGTTATTTTTAGATGTTCTAATCGAATAAATTTACCCTCACCAGTTCTAACGTTGATACCGGGCCATTCCTTTTTCGTTGAGAGGGATTTTTGGTGGTTGTCATACTCCTCTCTGCTGAAAACAGTAATACCCTTCACTGATTTCTCGCTAGACATTTTTCTTGTGTGACCGATTTGAGTTTAATTTTTCATAAGATCCTTTTATCATCGATGATGCTTCCGTTGTTTTCCCGATTGTGTCAACAGATGTCTACTCAGCTCATAAAAAAAAAACGGCTTTTACAGGACTTGAAATCTACGAAAACAGCAAGAAACTCTGAGGACAAAGAAACTCGCGATTCCCGCGAATACTCTGAAATATCCGAGGAATTGCGCGAAACTGCAAATTGCGAAATTGCGCGCGGCGAACCTAACCTAACCTACAACTCCGTTTCACGTATGACGCATATGATATGTATCATTTTATCTTTTTTCAATATTCAGAATGAAATAACAGGATGAAATGATATACAATATTATGAACATCATGCGTGAAACGGAACGCACTTTAGCATGCATGCATCAGAAAATTACCATTCCACGCTAATCTGTTTCAGATAATATGATAGCCTATTTAGCGGACGTTGATAATATTTCGTCAGTAAAAGAGAAATACTTTAAACAGTGTTCACTGTAAAAATGCCCCCGCGCAATATTCCCCTCTAAAGAAGTGGATGTAAACTACACAACAATATCCATTTTTTTTCGGTGCAACATGTAACGATTATATAACCAAATATCGATTTATCATCTCTAGCCTTGAAAAATGAACGATGTACCGAAAGAAAAGTGGATGTTGCTATGTAGTTTACATCCACTTTGTCAGAGGGCAGTAGTGCGCGGCAATATTTAATTTTGTGGTTATAGGTTTTGGACCGTCATGTCCTCTCAGATTTCTCTGGTCCATTTGGTCCATCATGGTCCATCACTTCAGCGGCGACCTCAGAGCGAGGTATATGTGATACGAGATGCTCCGCATGTCGCATTAATTCATGAAAATTAAATTAATACGAACGCGAATTGATTTAATTTCCGATCCGTGAACATGTCGAACGACTGCCATTCGTCGAAGATACATATAGTTATACTTCGCAAAGACGAGGATACATTAATCGATTAGCCACTTTACATATATATATTTAAATAAAGTTTATTTTGAAGCATTGCACAACACTGCTCTACACATCTGCTTACGTAAGTAAAATAATCCCGATCACAAGAATCCATTTCGATATAATCATATATTTATATGTACACACCTTACAGAGACCAAATTCGTTGAATTAATATAGTACATAATGAGCTGCCAAATGATTCTCGAATATATATCTCTCTCGAGTTTGCCGCCACTTGTTTTTAGAGTCGCCTTTTCTTAGTGACTAGGTTTACATCTTAAGTCATGTAGCGGTTTGCAAGTTTCGACTACGAATAAAACGACGAATATCAAAAAAACATTCCTTGTCGCTGCGCAGAAAAGGTTTTGCATAAACGCCGCATTGTCTCTGGTGTAAATGCAATAGCATCCGGCTTTGGCAGTATGATTTTTCATTCTCCGATTTAGGTACACAGCAGTGCAATTTCTCTTTTCTTTTTCCTTCATTAATACATTATAACTTAGGTCTTTCTTAGAAACACGTCGACGGCTTAAAGCTTGAATGAATAAACGTGTGTACGCAACATTGAACATCGTATGATAAGTAATGCAAATATAGGGCCTATCTTGCAAAATGAACATACAAAACACCAAAAGTTCAAATGTACGTTATTTCTCTACCCTGTATAAGCGACGACAAGATTCTGAGGTCCTTGTATGCATCTGCTCTTGATTGACACAATAATAATTATTCACGTTTTGTACTTTGTAAGTTAGGTACAGCCCATTCTACAATTGCATACGCGTAGTTGTAACTGGTTATAGTTGTAAGAATTGACCAACCACAATCAAATATTTTCCTGCGATTGGTTAATTCTTACAACTACAACGACTTAGAACTTAATAGCTTAGGGTAGCTTCCAAAAAGCGATTCAATACAATCCAGTGAACATCTCATTCTTGTTTAACAAAAGGAAGGGTGAACAAAAGGATGTAATGATGCACCGTATCACATGTGTCTTGTTGGAAGATATCCTTAATGTACATATTCATCACAACGCTCGGACGACCGTCGAATTGAATCCTTTGAAAACTCATAATAGTAACGTGATTTTTGCATGCTCAGCAAACGAAAATGGATTGAAATGAGTTGAAATGGATTCAGATTTTCAGAAATATTGATTCACGAAAGTTAAAATGAATGCTTTTCTGAATGCATTTTTATTCATTTATAGAATTGTATGAAGCATATCTCTATGCCTTTCAATCTAAAAATAATATTAGCTTTTTCTGTGCACACAAACACAATTGTGAATACTGTTCAATTCAAAATATGGAATAGGAAATGTTTTTCAATCCAATTGCATCCAATTGAATCTAATTGAATCCAATTGAATCCAATTAAATTCAAAAAAAGTATTCGCTATTTAAAATACGCATTCGGATAGAAAAAAATTTCAATCATTTTAATCCATTCTTTGCTAAGTGAAGAAAAGCTTCTTGGAGCTCTCCTGCGACATATTGATCGAGAATTACATTCGTTACATCGCGACAAAGTAAAAAAAGAAGCGCGAAGAGAAAGGATAAATAAAAAATATTGCACAAAAGTAGCTTATACAATACATTATGAATTAAAGTTGACGCGCAATGTCTTTTGGATGGATGTTTTATGCACGGGATGGAAGAGTTACTGTTCCGTTATGTTTTATAGTAACAGTTTGATCATAACGTTGTAATTGTTTATGACTAATAATAACTAATTAAACGCTGAGATTGCGCTAAGGTTGGGAAAGTTTCTTTGAAAAATAACGTTACTCGTTATAAATAATGACTAAAAAGTAACGAGTTAATTTTTTTAGTAACGAGTGACTTTCAACTCATTGCAAGTAACGATCGACTTTCCAACCCTGATGTCATGTCAAAAATTCGTTATTGACAAATTGTTATTATGAGATTATAACGATAAGTACATAACGGCGTTATGTACTTATACAAGTATAACTAGTAACTTCCATTCCCTGATTTTATAATACCATTGGAAAAAGTAAAAATAACGTGAATATCAAAATTGTCAATTAATCTAAATGCAAATCCGAAATGCAATAGAATCACGAAAAGCATTGAATATATGTTCGTTCAAGAAACAGTGTTTCCATGTTGCACCGATGAGTATACATTGAATTAAAAGATTTAAAAAATGCTCTTGTACGACATTCTTTTTTTTCACGCGTTATATCTTAACGTCATCGAAATGTTTTGTAATAATGGAAGAAAAGGATAGACTCGATTGTCTTCGTCGATATTGTATACAAAAAATATATACGTGCAATAATAAATTTGACGTTTAGAGTTCTTTCGCATTGCAGTAGTGCAATCGCAAGAAAATGAAATTCTCATTCCATTGATAAGAATTAGGATCGAGCTCGTTCCAAGCAACAAGAGAAATGGCTCTCGCTGCAGAAAATCAAACCTGCTTCGAGATTTCTCGTCAACATTTTAATAAATCGATGAAAGACTTGCAAAGACTGATACTATTATCAGCGAAGACGTATCTCGAGGGGTGCTACCGCATAACCACACATAGTCATTTGTCGACTTTGAATAATATCGAAAAAAAACATGCTAGTATAAATCAATAATCATTCTTACGCGATCTTTCTAAACGCGACTTTTTTTCATTGCAAATAACATTGTTATACGACTAGCTTCTACTCTCTACAACCGTAACTCGAAGGATAATGAAAATATCCTCCCTAATCATTCTTAAAACGTATCCACGCCACAGGAATCTCGAAGCAAAGGAAACCAGATCAGGAATCTCATATTACACGGAAGATTCCGATCAGAAAATACCAATTGCACTCGATCAAGATACAGAATGAGCCTGATGAAGTGAAAATCAGTAGGGAATATTACTTAACGATCAAAGACAGAGAGAGAAAAAGATTATTCCTCAACGAAACTTGAGCTATTAATTATGAAGCAATTAAAATTAGAACTTCAGAGGATATTGATTCACGTATCGTGTGACGTTTGTGCAGGCACACGTGTCTTTGTGTCTTTCTGGCTCTGGGCAGCTTTTGAGCCTTTTAAATACTGAAGCTCGTTCATTAGATAAGTAGGCCTCTGGATATTTATTAAGGTCGGCGTCGAATTTCTCAAAGGACGTATTCCTAATACCGATATCTATCTTTCAGGTTCATACAGTATATTGAGAGAACAAATAGAGAATATATTTCGAGTTAAATATATCTTTTTCAGAAGGTAACGTTTTAGAGTCTCTCTAAATGCAGCGCAACATCTTTAAACGTCATTCTATTATTTTCTTTCATACGTATAGCATTTATCCCGTCAAGCAATCATTCATAGCGGCAGTTGCGTCGCAGTTTCCGCTTTTTTCCGTACATACACCATTCATTCTTACGAGCTCTTACGATATAGTCGTGTCTCGAAAGCTTTCACAGCGAGAAAAATTTCAGAAAGGTCTGCGGAGGGATCGGCACATGGAGAGATGCTTGGTCGACGTCCGCCAGTTTCTCTTGAAACGCAGGATCCTGATCTGCGATGCAGGGATGACCCAGCGACCGCCAGAATAAGCAGCGGCAATTACGGCATAACTGTATCATCTCGGCATACTCCTCTCGCAATCCGAACAATCTGGACAGAATAAGGACATGTAGAAAATGTATAATATGATGTTGACAAATGCAAAGTTACGAATGCTAAATGATACTGATGCAGTAATCTCAATTCAATCGCGTATAAAAGAATAGCCGTACCTCCGAGCGATAGTGAATATGGTTTTCCAATCTTTCCCAGGATTATTCTGTCTGGTGGTAGCAATTTGCTGTGGCGTAAAATGATATTGGGCAAGCTCGCGCCAGATTCGCTGTTCTTGCGCTAAAACGGCAAGGTGTTCGCACGCCTCGGAAGAAGCTTCGATGTCTCGAGGGTCGCTCAAGCGTAGGAGGATCTCTCGACGACACTCAGGCGGCAGATCCGACCATTGAGGTTGCTGCTCCTCGTCCGGCTATAATAACTCGTTTGTTATTGATCAACCTTTATCACGAATTTCCTTGAAATCATTCCATCCTAACTTTTATGTAATTTTTTATTACGTTACCTGGGTAATAGTGATTGACGAAGCGATTTGCAATATTCTCTCCAGAGCTGCTTTATGTTTCTCCCACAGGATAACGGAACCCAAGGGTCTGCCACCCCAGCAGCAACCAGCGCTAAAGGCTCGAACTCTTTCTATAAGACGCCGCAGCCTTCCTGTCTGTTGTTGCGACAGTGACACTAAAACAACCATCAATTCAGCATGAATAACTAAAATTAATATTTTTCTCTTTCTTTAGGAAAAAAAGATATTGACAAGTAGAAAAATATCATGAAATTGTTAGATAAATTTCACAATGGATTATTTAAAGATTTTTACAAGTTTTGTAAGCACAAAACCCTTTTACCTTCCAGAGCGACTTCCTCGAGCATATTGAAAAGCACTCTTTGAGCGCATCCGCTAAGACCGCCCATTCTATGACTGACCAAGAGATCCAGGAGACGGACTATGTAATTGAATCGACGGCAGTCGTGTACAGCGGATAGGAAATCCAGCCTCTTCAAGGCGTCGCTCAGGCCATTGAAGCCAGCGATCTGTAAATTTAGAAACGGATAATGAATGATTCCGCTCGCTACGACGTCTAAGTATAGGTAGATACTTAGAAGATTCGTCGACAGTTTGTTACTGGTATCTCTTGCTCTTTTTTTCTTACTTACTACACTCAACCTGTCTTTATCGGGTAAATCGTAGTCTTTTTCCTCTTGCACAAGGTTGTGTCTAAATTAAGACCAAGCCAAAAGGAGTCACTCACCTCGCGTGTACATTTCAACGTGATGTGACAATGTGGTTGGACGGCATTTTCTGAAATTTAAGAAAAATACTCGTTATTTCAATCGTCGTCTTTATGGGTGCATTGTTTGATTAAAAACTGCTCTTATTACTCGACAAAAAAATTATTATTTGAAGATCTTCGATAAACATCTAACTCAAATTATTAATATCGCAACAAAATGAAACACGAAGAAGGAAAAAGTCTACAATATAAACTTGAATTTATAATTATAGCGTTTTCAATATAGGCTACGCTACGCACCTTTCTTCTTGTCCTTCTCTTTCTTATCGCCGGCATCTTTTTCGCCGCTGTAAAAAAAAGTATTCTTTAAATACATCATTAAATTCGTTAAAATTTAAAGAATTTATTGAAACGAGAAGCAATGCGCAAACGTAGAATTTTTGCAATTAAAAAAAGACTAAAAAATTAAACTATAAAAGTTAAACTAAAAATTTTGATCCATTCGCTTCTTTCAATTTCAGTTACATGATATAAAATATAATAACAAAAATTTTATTTATTTTATTTATCTATCGAATAATTTATCTTATAAACCTATTTATCTTATGCCCAATGGAAATGCGAAGAAGATACTTCCTGCAAGATGCTGAGAGTACTAATGTACGGATCCCAATTATGGCACAATACACCGCGACCGGTTTCAGCGAACTCGCGGCTGCTACGACTCAACGGAGTTAGCTTCGGTTCGACTACGGAAAGACTATCGTGGCAAAATAATGTTCAAGAAACAACTTCGTAGGATTTATATTTGTTTTCTTACAGTCTTTCGTATACAGCATTTTGTTTCACAAAATACTTGTAAGAATATATCCTACTGAAATATTTCTAAAAAATTTTCTACACTAATGATATAATAAATATATAAGGTCAATAATAATAATTATTATTATAGTTGAAATTAATTCAAGCTTAGATGATAATAATATAGATACTCGGATAATAATTATCAATTTTTATAATATAATGTCGATTTTAAATATTCTTACAAAGAAAACTATACTTTCTTGCTATTTATCTAAATATAACTAATATCATTTTCAATAAGAAACAATGAATTTTTAATTTTTATCTGTATAATATTTTGAAAAAATTGAAAAAAGTAAACACACTTTATTATTAAGTGATTGTGAGTTACTAATATTATCATCGTGTTGGTATTCGACAAAAAAGAAGGAAAAAACACGCGTAGGCGTTCGTGTCTACGGTATAATCACATTTAAACAGACCACAACGAATCCGTCTCGAGAGTGGTACCTTCACCATCGTTCACAAAGATCGTAATTGCTTTATAATACATTGATCATAATTAAGGTGGACACACCTTGCATAGACATTAACAGTCACTTTCATCGAACTATAGTAACATTCTTATTTCAATTGTAACACATGAGAAATTGGAGGAAGCGGAAAAATGCATCGAAACTGCAGCAAATCGCATTAGGCTCTGCGCGTTTATACGTCAGGATGACTCTATAATCTCTTAATAGACGCGACGTTAGTTATTTAACTGTCACTACACTGCATTCTATTTATAAAAAAAAAGTTCGAATACATGCGTCAACATGCATAAGATTCATTCTCATTTTTAAAATGCCGGAGATTAAATCGCGCAAAGTTGGGATGCGAATTGCGGCCATCTTTGCTCTAATTTAGAAGTTTTAAAACACTCGCGATCAATACTTATTGAATTCAGTCTTTTATAAATCCGTTTAAAATATGAAGTCTACGATACGAAGGAATCAAGTTCTGCTGCATATAAAAATGTGTTCCGATTTCTTCTCCGCAATTATTCATACTATAAAAACTTTCAGCTATAAAAATACTTGCATAGAAACTCGATTCTTTCCAAGGGTATAAAATTCTTCATTTTCAATTGTAGAAGAATATAGCGAATTACGTTCGGATTCGAATATAAAGATTGAGAAAGATATTATTTCTTCATTTCTTCATTTTATCATTTATAACAGATTCTTCTATATAATTTTTGTTATAGAGAAGAAATATTATTTCTCGAATGAAGAAATGCAAATTTGATTTTTGTGCATTAAAAACTTGTAGCAAATATTATTGCTAAATCTTGAAAAGTTTACCATTATATCGTTTCAAATTTTTATATGAATCTTCGAATCGAGTGTTTTAAAATATTTAAAATAATTCTTTTCTTATTCTTTAATGTCTAGATACATTTCGTCGCACTTGTCGCGCTTATCATTCTGTCTACGCAAGTAACGGCGACGAACGTTCTATTATAGGGACGCAACGATGACCTTGTATGTTAACTCGTGCATATATTCGCATATATATACAAACAGCCTCGCGTGCGGGACGTATTTGTGATTTTTCCGCGAGAATGAACGAGACTAGATACGGGAAAACATTTTTTCATTTTAATATATCGATCGGTGATGCGTGCCCTTGCCCTTTCTCTTTCAAATTGCCGGGTTCGGTGATTAAGATTGTCGAATCACCTATAGAGGACTTGATATTAATAAGCTTATATGTGTTGCAGGAATGATCGTCAGAGAAAAAGAGAGAGATCTCGTACCATCAGACCATAGGATTATTACATAACTACTTGTAGCGCTCATTACAAGATCAATTGTAGATGCATGTGTTAAAAAACGAACCGTAAATGCGGAAAATCTTCCACTGTGTAATACCGATAACTTGCAACTGGAGCGATCAATGTCACGTCAATGTTCTATGGCTTGAGGGTGGAAGGACAAATATCATATATTGGAATATACGGATTGACGTCATATTATTCACGGTGTCAAGATTGTTCGTTTTATTCTAATAATAAACCGGAGTAGATGATGTTGAATCAAACATTAACAGTATATGAATTATGAATAAAATGTTTATGAATTCATGAATTAAAAACAATGGCTTTTGCGTTTTAAAAGTATTTAATTTATAATCTTAGACATTTTATGATTTTATGATTAATAATAAGAAGCTTTTACTTCGTTAAATATTATCTCGATTGTGAGTGACATAGTTTCACAAAGGTATAAGTACAATACGTTGATAGAAGATAGGCTTAGAAAGTTCTGCGGTCTCTTCATTCCTTTATTCTCTTTCTAGTTCCGAGATGCAGAAGGACGTCGGTTATTTTAGGTCTCTGCAATATACGGAGATTGATGTACACAAATGCATTCTCTGCACTCGAACTATCATCATTGTGCCGTTTACTTTTACGATATAAAACAGTCGAGTTGGATACATACAAATAAAAAATTGTTAAAAAAGCAAATTTTGAGAGACTCGACGACGTGTCGTTGAAAAACAGATTTCAGTATAGCAATGCGGAGATGGAATCCGGCGGAATGATAGAATTTGGTAACGAATATCTAAAGAGATTCGCGTACAAGATTATATGTTTCGAATCGGATATAGTTTGATTGTTGACTGTCTGATAAATTTTGTCATTTCAAAATGTGAAAAACAAGGCTGTTTTCAAGAAGCTCTTATGAAACAAGAGATTCAGGGTGATGTATAGACATGCAGGTAGATACATATATCAATTAAGGATTTCAGCCAAAAATAAAGGAAATAGCAAAACAAGCATAAAATGTTAGACTGCTGCTTTGGTAAAACACAAAGTACGTATATTCTTATTGATAATCTTTTTTATCTATTTTTTCTTTCATTGACGGCACTTTCATATACTTTGCAATGTGCGAATAATTAATTCGCGAATATAGAAATCGGCCGGTACGAAACTTTTACTTCCAGTTCGAGTTCACCGACCCTTTCATGGTGCGCGCACCACGTCTAATCCCGTTTCCAAGCTGGGAAAACGCGCGTAGGACGGCTATACGTCGGTTGAATCATCGAAATAATGGTGCGGTCGCATCGGCCGTGTGTGTTAAGTCGACGAGGGAAATGGAGAAAACCAGCTTTTAGATTCTTCCGCAACAGTTCGCGTACTTTTCAGTCATTTCGTCAACGTCAAACTGTATCAAGATTTAAAATCGTTATGCGTGCACGGTGTGATAGTATCGGCAGAAAAGGTACCCCATTAATGCACAACCAAGTCTACCCCGATCCCAGTACAAAGATATTTTTTATAAATTAATATGTGTCTTTAAATTTAATAAGTTATGTATTCCTCATAGGTTTCTCTTGGAAAAAAGAATTCGAATTCTCTCGATATTGCTTCTTTATTGTTTGAGGATGACTCTTCTACGAGACTCTATATTTGCCATTTTTATTTGGAAGATGTGAAGGGATACATAAAGTTGAAGCGATTGAAGGAAAGTCTCTTATTAAGCGTACAAAAATAAAAAGAAATACAAGATACGCTTTCATTGTATTGCACCATTTCCCGAGTTACCGTCGTTGCTGCGTTCTGCGAAAGTAAAATATCGTGGTCGACAGCATCGAGTCGAATCCACATGTACGAAAAAGCCGCACCGTCTAACCGAATTTATCAAGGCTGCATGAGGTACATATACCCTGTGAGGGGATTGCGAATTGGCGCAGGTCACGTTGATAGCTAGGTCGCGACCTACTTCCGCACTAGCAAGATGCATGATTGCACGCGTCAGTAGTTTCCCGTTTTGAGAATTCGATCTAACCCTTAAAGGATCTAGCGCTTAAAGGATATCTGATCCTATGAAGATATACATTTTCATGAACCACTCAAAAATCGGCTGTTTCAGCGGTTCGTGAAAATGTATCTTCATCGACGAAAATATTGTTCCTGTGCATAGGAAAATCCAAAGAGGATTCGCAATATTGTCAATGCTAAATGTCGGAAGTATACGATTTGTTCATATATTTTTCTTAAAGAAATTGTATAAATATTTAATTTTAATATACAGTCAATTTTAACTAATGTATTAAAATTTATCCGCATTTACACTCCACTTTTATCAAGATATGTGTGCATTTAGCATATATTGTAGTTTACATATATTACAGAATCTCAGAAATAGAAATGTGCGCATTTATCGATAGACGAGAGCTGTGAATATACGGACCTATAAGTGCAATTTTATATGGCATTGCTGAAAATTATTCGACTTGATAGACCACATTCTTTTCAACAATATTATGTCAAACAATTTATATTACTGATGTTATTATAACCTGATAGTCATAATATATTTTATTGAATTTTTATCTTTCAGCGATATTTCTAATTTCTCGAAGAAAAGCTTCCGATATAAACTCTATTAACTTTTAATTTTAATCCCGTAGTTCGTTTTTATCTAACGTGAAGGAAAAGGAATAGCTAGGCCAGACGGTTTCTTTCAGCGAGTGCGAGAAAGCGCAACGAAGTCGAGCACTCTGTCGAAACTCCAACATTGCGTTTCACATGATATATTGATAGTTATTCCTTTATAAAATTCAAACATCTCAAGAATGTACAGAAATATCATAAAGTAATATTTCAATTAATTATTACGAATGTCAAATTCAAAACACGTGCATCTTGAATATTTTATAATAAAACTGAAATACTGCTTTTCATACAACTTGCATTTTTACAAATGTAAACTACGAAATAGTCATTGTAAAAACCATATTAATAATTAAGAAAATTTAAAATTAGATCATTATGTATAATATTTCTGTACTGTATAATATCGCACTATTACTAGAGAATATTATATATTTATTCTAAAAATAGATAACATATCGTTAATAACAGGAATATTCAATGTGCATGAATTAACATAATTCATATCATATTTACGATATAACGCAATGTACTAATGAAAGTGTTGTAGGTTGCCTGTTGTGTAGATGCTCAAGACTTGCATTCGCAAAAAAATCCGCATGCACACGCACGCACGCACGCACGCATACACGCATGCACGTATTATTAGAATTATTAATTAGAAATGCAAGGGACACGCGAGATCGCACGACTTGAAAAATAAATATTCCAAATAACAATAATAAATGCCAAATGTTCGCCAGCGTCTGGTAGCAATTTAACAGAAATAAACGCAGTATACATGATATATCCGCATCGCGCGAAAGAAAGAGTTTCGTGCGACTGTATTTTAAATACGTTTTCCAACGGATTATTAATAAACGAAAATAAGTGTGTGACACGTAAGTAAACAGACAAATTTATAATAGTCTTATATAAAATGTAAATAATTATATATACAGGGTGTCCCAGAATGACCGCCAAATATTTCGTGTATTTGTAGAGCGGTTGTTAGAATTAAACTGACAATGAGTCGAAAAGTCCTCTATAATTTTGGTATTTTCGCAATAAACAATTTTTGTTACATGCTCTTTTTCTGTGAAGTTGATAGTACTTGAGTAAAAAATTATTGAAAACTAATATTCTACAATTTTTAGTAATTAATATCTTGTTAACTATTGCGAAAATTGCAAAATGATAAAGGACTTTTCGACTCAGTTCAATCCGTTAGTCCAGCACACGAAATATTTGGCGATCATTCTGGGATACTCTGTATAAATAGTTGGATTGTTAAATTTTGATCTCAAATAATTATAAACATCGCAATTTAACATGTTTAATTAATGCAATGTATTAATTAATGTAATTAATTATGTATTATTTAACATTAGATGTTCATGTACACAATTATTTCTAGAAAATACGTTGTTGCAAATCTATATAACGGATTTTCGACAAATTAATGAACTTTCACGCCTCACGTGTGATATGTAACAATTATCGGTTAGTTGGAGTTACGGAGTTAAATTGCAATTAAGGGTACGTTAAGCGTCAAATGTTTGTGTTTATCGATCGTACTTGGAGCAAACTAATTATCAGATTTCAGGTGAGAACGAAGAAGTGGCTCGGCTTTAGTCGAGACTATTGTACAAAGATAATACGCAGAAGTAGCATTACAGAACGTTTTACTATCTTATAAAATTGTCAGCCGTCACGGAAGCGTAATAATAAGAAACAATTATCACGTTCGTATTTCGAGTCAATTGATGTATTGCGAGTTGCTGTATTGTATTTCTTCTAAGAAAAAACGACGAACATCTTTGACTTACCAAGAGAGAAAAGTTTTGACCAAGTGCAAAAAATCAGTCGAATCTCAGCTTTGGAAAGTTGTTTAAAGCTCCTGAGTAATCGCCGAGGTCATGTTGGAATCGTGACGTCATAAGCGAGAAATGACACGTTGACTTTTATTTCATTTGCAAAATTTGCAAATAAAGAGAATTTGGATGAAAACAAAATGATGAAATCGCTTTAAGCTTTAAAACTATCCGTTTTAAATCCAAACACGTAGTGTTTTGTCTATTGAAAAAATTTAAAACTAAAACATCTCTAAGTGTTTAAAAAATGGAGACAAGGATAAAACACATTTCTTTTTACAGTGGCGCTGAGCGGTTCCTGTAAATGATTCAATTGTAATTCGCATCACTCTCTCGTGATTTCTTGAGTCGAATTTGTAAGCGAAATTCATGCGCAAATGGTAAGAATAATCGATCGTGTTGTATTGCCCTCATGTTTATGAGAAATAATAAGTTGCTGGAAGGAGTATGTTTACGCGGTACTTGTTCTTTTTCTTACAATTAGTCCTATTGCTCGTAGTGGATAGTGATGACTTCTCTCGATCAGATATACCTGTGATGCGCACATATACAGTCATATGGGACTTATAGTTTAACGTCAATTCCAACGAAATTTTGTTAGAGAAGTGTTAGCAAAGAAAGATAGATCTCTATAGATTGTTGCTTCCTTCCGAGAGAAAACTGCACAAGTGTATGAAAATATTTTGGTTTTATCCGGGATCTCTAGCATAGCATAGCATAGACCAGTGCACTGTGTCTACTTTGCCACGTTCGCTCTCTATCCTCTCTACTTATACTTACGACTTACGCGGTACAGCGTACAGCTGCTTCCAAATGCAGTGTGCGTTAGCGGAAACAAAGAATCACGCTGCGATTCTTGACAGCGCGCTCGCGAACACGGGCTGCATGAATGTGCCACGATTCTAATTATCTAAGCCTGTCATGGCCACAAACACAACTGGTGCAACTAGCACAATGGGCTCAATATCCGGCCGAAGAAATCGCGACGCGCGATCGGCGGTCGACCCGAGGACATACGATATGTCGATGTCTTTGACAGATCTTGAGATATATGTATAATTGTAGGCTATAATAATATAATCGAATCTTGAAATCACATTAGCATAAAAATTAGTTAAATTTCGAAACAATAGTCTTAAGTTACTTCAATTTTGAAACAGCATCTCTCTCTCTCTCGCGGTCATCATAACATTTTTTTTTTTTTCACGAAAAATGAGTAATAGAACAATTTCAGGAAATAAGATACATAGAACTGGAGTATATGTAACTTAATTTCTATCACTAGCAAAGAATTTTTATAGACATTCGATATCTCCTGCTTGGGCGAGATCTATTTTTAAAAGTGGTATCACACTATAAACTACACATTTTTAGAAAATTAAAGATAAAGTAGAAATACGATAATTATTTTATGTTTATTAATAATAGTCATAGATGAAATCAGTGTTTTTCTTGCTTGAAGAAAAGAATTTCTACATTTATATACATTGAAAAAAGAAGTGTTTAATTTTAAGATATTAAAATGTTTTGTTCTTGTCTCCATTTTTTAAATATTATATTTAATTAAATATTATATTTAAAGATGTTTTAAGTTTAAAATTTTTTTCAATAAACAAAACACTACGTGTTCGGATTGAAAACATTATGTATTTTAAATCCATAGTGTTTTATTTACGGAAATATATATATATATATATATTTCCTTTAAAAATCAAGATGTTAGAAGAATATGACGCAGTTCAAACATATCGACTACTATTATTATCGAATACTCTCAAGTGGAATCAACGTTCTTTCTCAGAAGAAAAACAATACAGACTTAGTTAGTAAGGCTAATATTCTTACTAACATCCATTAATTCTTAGAAAACTAAATGTTAAGAAACTAACTCATGGTGTAAACTCTTTCACGAGATGTAACGTTGTTGCATGTATAAAAGAAAATAGTAGATTCATTTTTATACACAACGATACCATTCTCGCGATTTTCGATCAATATCCTAATGCAAAACGTTCAGGTTGATCGCGTAGATAAAAATCTAAACGCACGTGAATCGATTTCGATACGAGCGAGCCTTGTTTGATTTTTGCGCGTGATACAACGTCGAAGTGACTGCAAAGTTATGTTTTTATTTCCGATCAGTAGTACTAAAGAGAGAAACAAGTTTTCAGATTTATTTTCTATTGCAAATTGAGAAAATGTCAGATGCATAATTAATGTCGCTAACGGGAGATTACTTGGATTTTGCCTTCGAATTAAGTAGAATTTTAATTTGAGGGTAAAACACAACTGAAAACAGTTTAAGTCTATAAGTTGGAATATTACAAATCTCGTTTTTTATTTTAGAAATATGTTTGTAACGTTTACATAAAGCTACTTTTGTATCGACGAAAAATACGACGAGAAATGGCATCACCCACAAGCCGCAGCGCGGAGCATCGACGATCAATTCGAGCCTCAATCATGTCAATCCAAAGAACGATGAGATAATGAAAAGTGAAGATTGGACGATACAATAGGTCTGTCCTATCTCTACTGCACGTTTTCCTGCAATTGCCACTCTCTCGAAAGATCAGTTTTATATTCAGATGTATTTATTTCAATATTATTTTATAATATTGATATTTCGGCTTTCGGCTCGAAGTAGAATTGACGCAAAGTGAATAAAAGAATCTCGATTCGTATTTTAGGAATAACCATGTATCCTTGGTGGCTATTTCTGAAACGAAAAATAAAAGAGTCAAGAGAAACAAACATAGTAAGTTTGCGTTGCGTATTACATGTATTACGTATTGCAGATCAATTTGAATAATGTTATGCGTTACTCTGCACGCAAACTTGAAAATCATCTGTATCACGATTCGCGTGAGCGATAACATGGTATCACCCGCGGCTGCGGGTCATGCCGCAGGATCAGCAATCGACTCGCGCAAGGACACTGCTTGTTCGTCAGCCTGCAGATCATCGTAAATTGTAGCACGAGCTGGTGAACGTTATTAACGTTAAACTCGAGTAGCAATCAAGAACATTAACTTGTTCTTATCTTGTTTGAGTTAGACGTTTGCGCTGCATGGAATTAATTATACTGCTGTTACAGGTTTCGCATCATGAAAACTATGATGCGCTGCCAAACGAAAGAGAAGTCAAAATGCAAACGTGTAGTAAGCACAAAGAAAAATTCGATTCTCGGTACTAGAGATCGTGAATAATGGTAACTAGTTCTTTGTCGCTGCACTAAACCGTTTCTATCCTTTTCCTCAACTTCAAATACCTATTAATATTATATATTTAGTTTTCAATTCAACGAGAGAGAGAGAGAGAGAGAGAGAGAGAGTGTTGCATACATTAGTTGAACTGCAAAGAAGAGGCTGTGTTTGGGAATTTCACCAGAGTGCCCCAAGTAATAATATCTTTCATTCCATCTTCATCGTTCATTAGACATAAAACAAAAGGAGATAAGACTACGCACTCGGGTGCACTTGGTTTTCGCGAAACAAATGAAATCGGCGAGTAGTTAAGCCCGCGCGCGATAATGCTCGCGCTCGCATGTAAACAAACGGAGCTGTCAGTCGGATCGATGTAAACGTAAGTAACAGCTGTGTACCGCGCGATGAGAGGAAGAGAAAAAGAGAGAAAGAGAGAGCGAGAGCGAGAGCGTTCGATGGAGCAGAGGAACAATAATGAAATGACATACCGTAGAAGAAGCGAGAGGGTTTTGTTGTTGGCGCATTCGAGGATCTTCTTCTTTTCCCATCCCTCGACTGTCTTGACCCATTCCTCGCCTGGGCTACGCCAGTCCTTGGATATGAACGGCATCCTGGGCCTGACAGGCGACGACGACGACGACGACGATGATAATGACGACGGACTGGAGCGACACTCGCAGCTCGTTAACACCGAGACGGCGCAGGGCGCACCTCGTCGTGTCCACGGACGCCGAATGTGTGGTGTGTGCGTCCGCTCAGTCCGCTGCCTGCGACTCGCTCGCGCTTCGCCGCCGAGCCGAGTACCGAACGGCGAGCGCGCATGGCTTTGTTGTAGTGACGTCACCGCGCATCAGCTGTGAGGCCAGCACGGCGCGTCCGCGTGCCTGACTGCGCCATTCGCAGGACGCAGCTATTCGCCAGACTGCGGTCTCGTTTCCAGCTGGAATGCATCGCGTCTAGATATTCCGCTTGTCAATAAACTGATTTTCTGTTTGTTCAGAAATCGAAGAAAGATTTGGAAAAGAGGAGAAATCCAAGTTCTCTCTTCCAAGTTCTGTTACTTGTACATAACCACGTTTAGCGAGAACCATCAGATTCTTGACTGCAAGAATAAAAGACACAATGCTCGACTCGATAAATTTTTATTTTTTATTTCAGTTTGTAGAAACGTGATTAATGTCTAGTCTGTTTTGTGCAGAACGTACAAAGGATGAGAAGTAATACATCAGTGTGCGTGTGATTTAAGGCTCAACATTCTGCATTCAAGTCATCACCTGTTATCAACAGCTGAAAGCTGTCGACGAAATACAGATCTCGAATCTCGAGTGACAGCTGGCAGCACTCTCTGTTCTCTATATTGTATAGCAGAGCGTTGAATAAATCATGGATGGAGCCACATGGAGCGGCAATGTGATTACTTCACAAATTATTAAAGGGCATTTGGAGCAGAAAGAGAGAGAGAGAGAGAGAGAGAGAGAGAGAGAGAGAGAGAGAGAGAGAGAGAAAGAAAGAGAGAAATCTGTCTAATGCATAAAAATTGAACTCAAATATTCTTCGTTCTATAATTAATTATATACATACTCTTTCTCAAATCAACTTCACTTTTTATTGTTAATTTTAGCAAAGGATTAATTTATACTTCCATCTTTGCTTTTTACTTTATGGAAAAAATGATCGAGTAACTAATTTGACTTATAAGAAATTTGTATATTGATCTAATGTTTTATTAAATTTATGTTCAAGTCTCTCTTTTTTTCTTCAACGAATTAACAATAAGCTAGCTTTGTTTTTCTGTTTAACAGAATTCGATTTTGGACTCATTTGAGTTTCTTCTCTCTGCCATCCCTGCTATGGAAACTTTGTCGATTAGAAGGCCTCGAGAATCTGTTCCTGATCTATCCGCCACTGATCTCCAAGCATATACTGTACACATGACGTGGCGGGCGTGCGGAGCAGTGTGGATGCTGACGGCTGACAAGTGACAAGTGGACGCGCACTCGCCACGGATCAACTGACCGAGCAGTCTTAATCGCTCCGCGCCGCAAGCAAATTGTTCGTCGGGCGCGCAACATGTACCTCGAGTTGCTCTGATTGTACACAGGGATATCGCCGTCAATGCGTGGTGTGGCTCATCAGCCTGATTGAAGGTACTTGTATATATACATGTATACGTAAACGCACGCCGCGCCGTCCCGTCCCGTCCCGTCCCGTCCCGTCCCGTCCCGTCCCGTCCTGTCCCGTCCCGTCCCGTCCCGTCCCGTCCGATTGCGCGGGTTTTCCGTCTCTTTCGTGATTTCGTAATCGCGCATAAATGCAATCGGGCTTGTTTATTACGTTGCGTATTTCTTGGCACGTGCTCTCATGCAACTCTCTTTCTCTCTCTTTCTCTCTCTCTCTCTCTCTCTCTCTCTCTCTCTCTCTCTCTCCCCCCCTTCTATTTCTCATAATATTCTGTCCTTGTGCTGCCCGACAGGATATGGACCCAGGTATTTACTCGATTGGATCATATTATTTCGATGAAATTATGCGATGGATAGGATAAATCTCGAGTTTTATCGTGGTAACAAAGCTTCTCGCACATTTGACGTCATTCCCAAACTATGTGAATATGCAGAAACACGCTTTTCTTATCGACATTATCATTTTAATGTTTACATTAAAATTGTGCTAGACGCAATCCACCTTAAAACATTTTTTAGATTCTATGCGACTCTCGTATTCTACAGTTTCATAGTGAAATATCAGAAAAAATAGCGAATATAAGATGGAATTTATAAGCACATATGTTATATTATACTAGTTTGTGCATATTTTAATTGTCATGTTGGTATTATGGTCTCAAAGATAACGTGGAATATTTTTGTAATAAAACAAATTATAAAAGAAGGGATTTTATGTTTATATATAAGTAGAAACACTGTGTGAATTATCTCTACTTTATTTTTTTTTATCATGTTTTCAATCAAAATTTGTATCGTAAAAATAGTAGACAGATAAATATCCTATATTTATATCTCATGATGTGATGATATTTATATTTATTTTAACATTACTTTGCACAATCTTATCATTTGTTGCATTTTGACCTTTCTATGTTATAAATAAACTTACCATGGCTTAAGAATGTCATAGTCTAACATTTATAATCACATTGATACCGTTTGTCTGTTCAATCATTATTTATTGATTATTACTTTATTATTATATGTATAATTTTATTAATTATTAATACATGATTGACCGATTTTATGACCATCCCGTACGCTTTGTTAGAGAATGTAGGCAAGGAAACTATTCTAAAAGTGACAGATTGGTTGCGTGGAATTTGGGAAATGAGGCGACGTGCCGGCGGACCGGTTCAACAATGGATTGACTCCATACCATCAACCGCAAAGTCAGACATTGTTATTGCGAGCGAGTGTCGAGAACGTAGCCCGAGCCATAAGCATAAACCATTAACACCAACCGAGCCTAAGGACATTCCATTTTCTAAGGATTTACAGTCTCCAAGCATGACCATATCAGCGCCTATTAATGTTCCTAATTCTGCAGCAATGAATACACCGGTGTTACCAAGGTATTAAGGAAGTATTATTCATGATCAAGGAGTTGGTTACAACAATCAACATTGAATCACGAATATCCATTTGAATTATTTTTTAGTTCACTTCCTCATCAGAGACTGGCGCGAGATGCGAGTTTTCAGTCGGACAGTAGTCACTGCAGTAGCGTCGAGAGTTTATTAGAATTGCGAAAGGCAGATCCGGCAGCGATTCTGTTCGATCTTGGCTTTGGCGGCTCCACGGCCAGTCAGCAAGAAAACGGTACAATTTCTCGTATTCCTAGAAGGTTCCTACAGCCATCGTCGTTAAGAGGCATCGCCGTAGACGAGTTTCTTAAGCAGCAACAGGAGACCACCGAATCTTTTGATTCAATATCTTTAGGATATAGAGGCCTAACGGGTAAAATAAAGTTTTCAATAGCAATAATTGTACGATTACACTATGTTCAAGAAGAATTAATTTCTTTTGGAAATAGTGAACTCTGAAATTCATCATTCTACGTGTGAAAAACAATAAGAATTTTATAGTTACTATATCTATGATTTGTATCTTTAGTATTATCACCAAATGAATTAACAATATTTTTATAATATTGATTATAAAAATCCAATTTATATTTCTGGGTACAAAATGTATCCGCAAACATTTTGCCATATAGAATAATAATTTTGTAGGAAGCAATAGCGCATTATACGCTCCTACACGTGTCCGACAGCGCAGAAACTCTGGATCAAGTAATTTTGTAAGTCTCGCGTAAGAATCAGTAGTCAAGACTGTTTTAATGTATCTTTTTTTAAAACCAGTTTAATTGACTTATCTAGAACTGCATAGCTGTTTTCTTTTATTTATATTTTTTTGGTTTTTATTTTACATTACAGCTTCTTGTTTTTGCTTATTTATGCGTTAGTCGACATACAATATTTATATTATTTTTATGTAGAAGTTTATTATTTTTTTTGTATTTATTACAAAACTTGCTTCTAAAATTTCCAAATGCTCAATAATAATCTTATATAAAGTAGAACAAAAATGGATTTTACCGGATTGTAGATATGAATTAATTATATATATGTGATTTAAGTTTTAAATTAATTTTGCATGAACAATAGTATGCAAGAATAATACAGTGATGTGTACTAATGTATTAAGAACACAAATTCAAACTAGTAGTGATAGAATCGAAATGTGTTTCCTAATCCCGTTATCACTGGAGTATCTTAAAATAATATTTAATTTTCTCTGAATCGTGTGCAACAATCTAGCCGTTTAAAAGAAAATATCCAGTTGTATAAAATACACCATAGATGGAATTTATGCACGTGTTAGATGTTGTTCTTAGAATACATATGTATTATTCTATTTTCATTTGATGTATTTTTCGCATTCCATGCATCGCATCTTGTTTTGCGGCAATTAGTGTTATTGATCATTAATGAATATACATATGATATATCTTGTTTTTTTCTGTATTTTCAAAGGATCGCCATATGTAGCCCCATCGGAAATTGTGCAAAAAATTATGGAACGCTTGCGAGAACATGATAGCCATGAAGTGGATACGAGTTTATATAATTATGACCAGTACAGTTCATTACATCAAAATGGAAAATTCTCTGTGCTGTCTCCTGATAATAGACAGTTCTTGGAACAGCCACGTTCCAAAAGCCCTGATATGCATAACAAGCGTATGATCATAGGTAAATGAGAAATCTGATGCAAATAAATTTTAATATTGACATTTAATTTATGTTGCTATGTAAAATTGATGAAACGTTTTTTTCTCTCTTGTAGGGCAAAAATCATTTACTTTCGGATGCGACGGAAATTTAATTGAAATATCTACCGATGGGGGTACAAAACTTACGTACGATTCAGTAAATGATCATAATAACTCACTGGATGTCGATGAATCTATAGAATTAAAGCAATTGTCTCCAGAAGGAAGTATGACATTCCAACACCGATATCTTTCAAAGTATGATAAAAGGCTAGCGAAGCAATTGTCATTTGATGATACTGTCGAATTTTCTGAAACCGACCAATTATTAAAAGATGATCGGGAGACCTTGAATAGCTTAAATATTGCTCAAAGTGGCACAAATATAGATGATAGGGCACAAGAACATAATACAATTTTTAGAAGACACGAATTTTCTGATACTCGAAGGGCTAGCGATGGTTCGTGTGACACTAAACTTCTAAAGAATAAATTATTTTATGAAAGGCGATTTAGTGATAGTGCAATGCGTATTGCTGAAAGTAAAGAGCATACGTTAATGCAAAAGAGGAAAAGTCTCAAAAGACAGTCTAGAGTATGTGATACAACCGCAATGTATTGTTGCGATCTAAGTCCTATTAGGTCTAGTATACCAAGTATAGTAATAATAGAACCTAATGTAGATATTGAAGTATCGAGTGACGTAACTGATAGTGCACAATTAAATATATCGAAATCATTCGATCCAGCCGAAGATAAAAACGATCTGGAATTAAAAACGGAGACAGGATTTTCGTTTAGTAAATCTGATTACATGCCTTCGCCATCAAATGTTAGTGAATCTATCAACAGATTAGAACGCTTTCAAACCGCACCGGAAGATTCGGCATCTAGTGATCATTCTTGTACGGAAGATAATCAAGTCTGTTGTTACAAAGGTAAAGTATGTAAAGATTGTAAGCATGGTAAAAACTGTCCGGATTGTTGTTGTTACGCTAACAAACGGAAATATCGGAAAAAGATGGAGAAGATTATACAAGAGAATAAGAGATTAGAGGATATGCTAGCGAGAAGTAGGAGAGAGGTGGCACAGATTCGTGATATGCTAAGCAGTGTGTTATCAGTCAGGATGGAACCAGGATTTTGAGAGCAATTGCCAATTTTGGTAAAAGTAATACTATCATCTTGTGATATGGGAAGAGGCGGGAGGGTGAATATAATACATTAGAGAAAATTAATATCTTGTAGAGAATTTTTGACTTTCTATTTAACACTTTAAACTAATCTATTCTTCTATTTCAGAAATCAAATATTTTCGAAGTATACATTTTTTAACAAATGCTATTTCTGAAATGTACGTAAGAACAGTCTTTCAGCATATCTTTTTATCTAAAACTAAGCTAACAAGTACACTCGATTATTTTTGCATGCTTAATATTAACATAAATCTTTTTATATTTCTATTTCTGTTTATACTTCTTACATTTTTTTACAGTCAACGAAAGTTATAAACATAAAAATTTTATTACATTTTGATTTTATTTAAGATTAGGTATTGGCACCAAAAAAAAAGAAGTGCGTTTTTATCATCAGAATACTTCGTTAATACTGGCATAGGTGAATTATTAAGATAAATATAAATTTTCATTGTGAAATAAAATATCAGTTTAAATATATGGATATTTGATATATGGATATATGATATTTTGAGATTAAGAGAAGAAATACTTTTTATAATCGATATACAAGATCACTTGAACGTGAGAACATATGAAATCCATTTATCAAATGTCATTTAAAATTTACACAGCTAAGCCAAATAATCGAGCGGATAGAGATGAACTAAAAAATATTTATTAGTAAATTCAAATATAAATAATCGTTTTATTTGAAATTTGACTGCACAAAATTTACACTTTTATAAATTATATTTTAAATTTTACATACTCGAGACGATTAATTTGCTCTTGCGTTATTTCGACTCTTGTCTTTTTAACTCTCTCATATTCTAATCGTTACATTATTATGTAAATCGCGTACATTCCGCTACCATATCTTCGAATATACTTGTTAAGTTTGGAGTATTGAATTATCTTTGTTATTTTATAACTAAAAAATTTGTTGATTGAATATCTCTAGTTTATAATTGAAATTATATAATAAGTAACAGTCATAGCTATGCCTTGTTCACGTTTAATAGAATTTTTCTATATAATTGAGCATTTTTGTATGCATATATGTATAATATAATGTACAAAAGGAAGATTAATTGCGAGTTGAGAAAACACAGTCAGAACAGTAATGAAAGTTTGATACTTTCGTCACTTTCCTCACTCTTTTTAATAATTATATATTTACATAGTAAGATTGAAATGCTGGTCATTCCATATTTTATGCAGACAAAAAGAGATCTAGTCTTCTACAATTACAATGTAATACTGTCGGTACGGTGTGGTAAGATGTTCAACTATTAATTCTTCAGCTTTTGTCATTTTTTTATATTCAAAATAACATGCTCTCAAGGAATTTCTCAGAAAACAACTCAACTGGTTTTGGGTATCAATTATTGAGAATTAATTTATGCTGCCATATTGGAGTACTTCTTGAATAATAGTATATTTCCACATATCACATTATAGATATAAATAATGTACATTCATTTAACTTTAATCTAATGGGATCACTAGCTATAATATATTTAAAGAAATCTGCGATTTAATAAACTAAATAAAATGAAGAAATGATCTGAGATTTAAAATCAAATCGAATGACATATACTCGTTCTATTGAGATCAATTAAATGCAAATTATTTGATATTAATAAAATACTATTATCTACAATATTTGGGAAAGGAAAAAAGATGATTAAATATATATTAAATTAATATATATGTATTGTTGTGAAATGTATGTATAAGTCTGTTCACTTTTTTTACTTAATGCTTAAAATGCTAACATCAATTGAAAATTTATTTGATATTACTAAATGCGGATTTAATTTTCCCTAAGTTATAAGCACTTAATAAAGAAAAATGCCTTTTATTTTATCATAATATACAAATAAAACCATAGTTAGTACAGAAATACAAGATTGTGAAAAAAAATATCATACAATATAAATAAAAAAATTTAGAATATTAACATTTACGTAATAGAATTTTCATCGTCCATATTTTATATAACAAATCAGTTTATCTGTAATAAATTTTCCAACTTCTTATACAATATCAAACGATGAAATCTTGCTAAGATACGCATTATTTATGTAAAGTATACAGAAAGTAATTATACAAATGAATAGAAGCATTGTAGTTATTAAGGTACAATGTACAATTGTAGGAAAACTCAATAATAAATATATACCGCAATTGAGTTTCGTTTTTTTATACGTATTAGCCATAATTTGCACCTAATGAATTTATTACTCTTAAACATACTATTAAGTGTACCGTTTATAACACATTTCGTAGAAATCAACTGTTCACTATAAACTATCCAAATATCTTTTTCTTTGCAAATTGTGTTTTTATAAATAATCGCGAAACTATATCTTATAAGTTGATGTATAAAATAATACAATTTTATAGATATACCAGATATAGACGAGATCAAACTATTTAATAACAGACAAAATATGTCAATATCGTCAATAATATAAGTTAACTTTGTACATACAACTGATCCCCTTTACAAGTTATGAGTGCAGTCAATTACTGGAAGGATCTGCTAGTTTTTGTCTTATGATAAGCGACACGCAAGAACTGATTTAGCGTCGTCCGTAGTAATTATGGAAACTGTAAGAAATATTTCTTGTAGAGTTCCTTATTTATGTCATTTGGATATTAACTAGCATTTTTTCTAGTCGTAGATCTAATCAAAGATCGAATCTAAAGAAGATATATATATTAATCATTTATAATCAAATAATTTACGTAACTCAATTTATGTAGTTTCTTTGTATTTATTTGAATATAAAATCGTCTTTCTTTTTACTATATCAGACTAGACAGATTAATAGTTCCATTTATTTCTCTACGGGCGCGCTTGAAATGGCTGCATAAATGACAAAGCCAATGCAGCGTTTGTAAAGTTTAAATTACAAACAGACTAATGGTGACATCATAAACAAAATCGAACATCAACATGCATCCTTTATGCTAGGTAACATTAAATTTCTGTCGAAGATAAAACATTTGTAAATTATCGAGTGGTTCTGCGTTACTAAACTCCGTAAATACGATGCATGTAGCGAGTAGATTTCTTGATAAGCTCACATGTATATTCTGTCAGGGTTATCAATTATAGCTAAACTACCCCCAGTAATAAACTCAGAGCCATGGTCCATCCAATCTTATATTTTAAATATGAACCTGCTACAATACCATGTCAAACATCATCCATGTGTATGTGTAAATATATGTTTCGTGAATAGTGTACATGTAGATGTGGATGTATCCGTCCTTTCTTTCCTTATAACATATGTTTCCTTAACGTATATAAACAAATAAGAGCAAACTCGATCTAATTTAATCTTCTTTATCATCCCTGAAATTAATAAAAAGAAATTTGTTAATAATAATCACGTTATACATACATACTGCAACAATGTAAATCACAATGCGAGCAACAATACAATTTACGTACTTTACAACTTCTTGTGGTTGCGATGGATCAAAATGAAGTTCAACAATTGTCTCTTGTCTACTTTGCACTTTAAAGGACACGTGGACCGCTATGTATTGGTCTTTGTTACTCTGTTGCCAACCAGAATACTGAAATGAAATGTAATTTCTGTAAATTACATTTATAAATATAATTTAAGTGAGATTTATATATATGCACCACAAGTTTCTTTTTATCTATTAGGTGTTGGAATTAATTCGTAGCGTTTTACAAGTGATGGGAAGTACTTTCATTAATGTATTTTTTAATGCTCATGTGAAATAAATAACATTCTTTCATTAAAAACGCTACGAATTAATTCCAACACCTAATAATATCTAATGCAACTGAATTTAGGTCAATTTAATGAATGTTAGAATGTATTATTTTTTATTCTGAAAAAAAAAAAAACGATGCACTTACTGTGGTTGTGCTTCTGTACAGTACTTTCCCATCTTCCTTAAAAGGTAAAAACTTTTGGAGCAATGCTTTTCCATCTATCCTCCACAAGGTTGGATAAGTGCTTGATTCCACATCAGATTTACCCTTACTGGATAAGTTATTTTCCTTATTCTTATTAGATTCAACGTCAGTTTTTAAAAGAACAAATGAACCAGACTGCAAGAAACATTAATGATATAGACGGACATTTTTTTTGAAAATTTATTATACTGAACTGGATATCGATCATTGACTTACTGTGTATTCTTTTGGAGTCTCTCCAGATTCGTTGAAACTGTTGTCATCAGAATCGTCATCTTCCTCATCCTCCTTTTCATCATCGTCTTTCTTAGAGCGCCTTTTCCTCTTTAACTTCTTTCCTGTATCAGAATCAGATTCCTCTTCCTCTTCCTCTTCATCCTCTTCAAATTCCTCTTCTTCCTCTTCGTCCTCCTCTTCAGAGTGTTGTCGCTTTTTTCCTGCTCCTCTCTGTGGCCTTATTTTAGTGCCAGCCTATTAAAAAAAAATCACAAATAATATATCAAAATTAAATATTTTCTTTTTCTTTCTCTGTTACATACTTTTTAATTGTATTCATAATAATCATGCATCCATGAAAGCTTAAAACGAATGATAGAAAAATATTATACAATTTAAGTCAGAAATATAGGACATCCCTTAATTCATTAACATAACAAACTAAACTATGTCTAACAATTAACAAAAAGATATTTTGAAAAATGTTTGTTATGGTTTCTAATGTCTAATGTAGATTACCTTTAATGTAGATTAACTTTAATCTCGGAATTAATTCTTAGAACTAGAAAAAGATAAAGAGTAAGTTGAGCAAAAAATAAAATTAATCTACATGGGGAGGAAGGGTAAACATTAGAATGATTTTGATTAAGTATCGATCAAGTAATATTTTTACTATTTAAGTAGAACTACTAATACTTTAATATGTTTAACGTGGAAAAAGATTAGATAGGCAATTACATTTAGAAAGAACCTCGCACAAATTATGTGGTTTCACAAAAGTGGTTTCAGTCAAACCGGTTGAATTTTTAATATGTTGTAATTCTTGTTATTCTGAACATATGTCTCAATGTGTACATTTGTTCAGAATGACGAGAACTACAATACATAAAAAATTCAGCCAATTCGTCTGAAACTACTTTTCCATATAATTTATGCAGGATCCTTAAAAATTAGAAAAATTTTGCTTTAAACAATTCTGTCAGTTAAAACAATCACTAATTAAGCTAAGCGGAGTTTAGTCGAAATTTTGCTTGTTCGCTTCTATTAATGTAGTTTAATTTTAATTTAGGTTCACTCTACTTTTTTCTAATTCCGAAAATTAGAAAAGTATGAACCGAGATTAAAGTTAATCTACATTGATAGAAACGGGCATCAAAGAGACAAGCAGTCGAATGTCCATTTCTATCAATGTAGATGGTTAACTTCAATCTCGGTTTAATTTATTCTTTATTCTTTCCTAATTTTTAGAACTATAGAAAAAGATAAAAAATAAATTAAAGTCACCCAGATTAAAGTCAATCTACATATTTGTAGAAACGGACAGGTAGGTCCGGTGTTACATTCTACCGATGTAAAAATTAATTTTATCTCGATTTAACTTATTGTTTATCTTTTCCTAATATTAATCTTCTAATTCTTAGAATTAGGAAAAGAATTAGAAAAAGAAAGAATGAAGAATAAATTGAATCGAGATTTAAGTTACCAACATTATGTGGAACCAGGTTGTATAGTATCGTAGTCTGTAGTACACACACACACACACACATACGTACTCTCTTCTGGTGAAGTAGCGATTACTGATGATTTGAAATATTGCCGAGCAGCGCGGGTGTGGCGCCACTGACGCCACTGGCGCCACTGGCGCCATTGAGCAACCGACTGGACAACCAACTGAACCAACCGGCCGGCGACGATGGCCGTCGCGAAGCAATGCGAGACGAAAAGACCGTGCTAGACGAACGGCCCTATCTCGAAAGATACGTCTGGACAGCGCGACCGGGTCGCCGTATGGGAAACCGCACGTCGTAGTTTCGCAAGCGGACTCGACGCCGAGGATCTTATCTCGAGCGAGTTTCTCCTCGCGCCCGCGACATAAAGGGGAACACATCAGCTAATATTGTCCGCCGCCGACGCCTCGCTCCGTCACGGTCTCGGAATACATGGGTATCGTTTTACTTGGCGCATTCTTGGCCCGAGTCCGATTCGTTGGGAAGAAACCGCAAGAGACGCGAATTCCGCGATAAGCATTCTCGTTTCTGGAGCAGTTAAGTTGCGGCGAAATTCCGCCGGAGCATCGGAGTCGGTCGCTCTTACTCTCTCCCTCTCTCTCTTTCTTTTTCTCTCTCGCTCGCTCGCTCACTCTCTTTCTCTTTTCCCTTCTCATACAAGCGTCCTTTATCGTGCAAACGATGCAAACATAATAAAAAATAATAAAAAAAAAAAAAAAATTTGGCCGTCCTCTTCCGCGAACGTGGGCGTGATAGGATGAAAAAGAAATGTAGCGAACGCGCGGCGTGTTAATTTACCTCGGTCCCGGCCTCCGGAGTCCATTCCTCCTCGGAGGCGCCCTCGACCTCCGGATAGTCCGGATCGTCCACCTCGTAATCATCCTCGTCCGAGTAATCCTTGATCTTCTTCATGCTGTCCTTGCGCGAAATGTTTGCCGATTTTCTGAGACACTGTCCGTGAAAAGAACGTTACGCGGGCGACACGCGGTGCTGAGGAAAGTACGAGTAACTTCAATCGGAGGAACGTGCACACGGAACACACGGAATATCGCAAACAATATGGCGGTCGGTAAGAGAGAAGGGAGGAGGAACGCTCCCTTTATTATCGCGAATTCGCATGGATGGCGTGGTGCCGTGGCTACGGAATCTGTCTCCCGATGGCAGCACCATTTCCATCCACCTGCTGCCTCGCTTCACAGTTTATGCCGCCTCACAGGCGCCATAATTCGCGGCCGATATTCGTCGATGTTGGAGGGTTGCAACGCGGAAAGATGGACATTTTAGTTAGGATGTCAAAGAACAAATCGATTTCGAGGTATATAATTTTTGATTGAAATTTATACAAATAATATATTCTACGATTTCAGAGATATCAGTTGTAGGCTAAAGTTACCTCCAATAATAAACTAAAAGTCTCCCTCTCATCACGGTCCATTACAATCTTATATGTAGGTGGTTGATTGCGTATCTTGTTGGAGTATGTTTCGTTTCTCACATATAATATATATCATTTTATCTTCTTGTTCATTAAATATTAAAAAATGATAAAATGATACATTTATACGTGAAACGGAACACACTCTTGAAATGAGGTGAAAATTACAAAAGTTAGCAAATATTTATTAGAATATTTATATTATATTATAATTTCATATAGTCATCATATATCATCTCACCTGAAAATATTATACAATGGATTCCCAGAAACGATTGATTAATCGACGTTGAATCAGCATCGATTCGATCAATTATTTTTTGTTGAGATATTCTATTTATCTCAATTGATTTTTTTATCATTATTTTCATTGTTTTATCATTTTTTAAAATGTCGATACTATACTGTATATAGCTAATTAAGTTGTAATTTCTTCTTTTATTATACGTATATATATTAAACTAACAAAAAGACTCAAGCAGAACAAAAAATCATAACGATATTAAATAATTCTAAAATGATTATTAAACAAACAGAACATATTATTCTGCTTGGAAAGACTTTGATCAAATTATTATTGACTCAATTGGCAGAAATATTCAAAGCAAAGTTTTTGCTATATATAATTAAGAACTATATATAATTAAAGAACTATATATAATTCATTGTCATCTCTGATAGAATTTTTTCTTTCATGTATATCAAATAAGTGTACGTAATAACTTTAGCTGATGCTATCCCCCTTCTCCCTTTATAATATTAAACTAGAGCCGCGGTTATTCATATAATCAATTCAATATTGTATTTTAAATAAATATTGGAAAGGATACGGGCAGTAGGAGTCAAGCGCAGAAGACGTCGGGCAAATAATATATCTATGAAATGTGAAACTTCTTTATTCACTTACATGTTTCGGTTTACTTTTTGAGCTTTTCTCAAAGACAACATAAACTAACATATATAAAAACTGTGAATAAAAGTTATCCTGTCATATTGAGCTCCTCTATATCGAGAATTTAAATGTCGGAATTAAAACTAAAAAGAGAAAGAAAAAGGAAAAGAAGAAAAGAAAAGAAATTAAGAAATATCGTAAAATAGAATATGAAGAACTAATTTATCAAACAACTTTAAGGTTATAATTAATTATCCAGGAAATATAAGGACGCTCATCATACTCACAGAGCAAACATTACTATAAAAATAATTAAAAAATCGACTCCTGATAATGTTGGCTAGTCAGACACAGTGAGTCACTTTTTTTAGCTAGTAATTTTCCGAGATAACAAATGGAAAAATGTAACATTAAAGCATTGATCAATTCCAAAAACAAGAAAGTTGGAAAGTAATCGATAAACACGCCACTGCCTATTCTGCTCGTATCCTTTACAGTTCTTTGATTTATAAGAAATCTTGGTTTATACGGATAAATAAATATTGTTATAATATTTATTCTTGCATGCGTTAATTTTTTTATAACCGAATTTTTTCTTTTTGCTTATGAAAAAAAAATAAATTTTTGCAATTGGAGAATATTAAATGGAGAATATTAATTAAGCCATTGAGACTGCAATAATTAAGAGAAGTAGAAATATTTTCTTTAATTTAATTAAATGTAATTTCCAAGTTGCGTGGCGTAAAGAGTGGACAAGCAACATTCTCAATGCAACATCTTAACGATTGTTAATAATTTTTCAGACTCGCGCAAGACCGGATCGATATGGGGTTGACGCGTGCGCCGAGGCTCGACGCCGCGTCGGGACGCCGTTCCCTCCGTATTTACGATAGCGGCGGTACCAGCAAAAATCCTGGCGCAAGGGTAAAGAACGGACGAAAGGACGTCGGAGAGAAAAATGTTTGAGCTCTACGGTGTCGGTAAGGACGGTATGGTGTATCACTCACCGCCTCCCAGAAGAAAGGAAGTCGACATCCTTTCGGAGGTAGGTAGGACAAACCCAGTTAAATATCCCTTATTAATTCGTTAATTGTGTCGAGAAGAGAGCTGCCTCCTAATTAACTTGCTGAGGGACCCCAGAGAGTATCTGTTGAAATATATATTATTTACCTCCTACATATAATTAATGATCGAGCTGCCCACGCGCACACACACACACACGAGGATGCTACGCGTGTCGTTCTTAGCTTGACTTTTTTTCTGAAGCAAAGGTGAATTGAGCTTGTCTATAACACCTTTCCGGGCTATTATTTATTTTATTTCTTGACATAATGGAGGAAGTTGGAAAACAATGTATATAGAAGTGTTTCTTAACATTTCCTATGATATATATTCTTATATATTTCTTATGTATATATTATATTTATATTGTATGTGTTCTATGTTTTTTGAATCTTGATAAATATCAATCAAATCAATAAACATTAATTAACAGTAACATTACATCAATATTCTAACTTTCCATTTAACATAAATGTAACATATATTGTATATAACAGTTATTGAATAGGAAATTATAACATTGATATATTATTGTTAATTGATATTTACTGATTAATAATTTTTAATCAAGATTTTTCATTTATGAATGTTTTTTTATAAGCAAAACGACATCCTTTTAAAATAAAGATCCGAAGATGTTTTCAATTACGCACAATTAGTTTCTATTTAAAAAATAGAATCAGACTTTACGATAAGTGCTATATGTTTGATCGGCGGGACGACGAGATAATTTGCGTAAACCTCTCGAAATGTTGATTCACCGTTGATGTTATTTTTACAATCGACTGCGAAAATCGTCTTGCAGGGATGTTTTATGCAAAGTAGTTTTCTATTTTTATTTCTTCTCTCAAGGCAGACGTGTTTTTCTTCACGATACACGCGTCTTTTATAATAACTTACGAGCCGCTAATACCGGCGTAACGCGACGATTCGCGCAATGCGGATAATACGCGAAGATTATGCAATCGTTGCAATCTTAGAATTTAATTTACGGAGACGATTGCTCGGATTGCTAGCTTTGTAAATCAACGCGCTTTTGCAGACCTGCCTACAGCTCTCGTCCCCAGAATTCATGAGAAAATTGCCCAACGGCGATGCACTTCACCACATCAAGGACACGGGTGTCTCGACTTCCTTCAACAAGGCCAAAGAACCACCAAGAGAGAGCAGTGAGTCCATATAAGTCATTATTGCACACAGAATAAAATTAGAATACTTGAGAGATTCAGAGTGATATTTCAGTTTATATTCTGTCTTGCAAAAACTAAATTTGTAAGAAATTATAAGAATCCTTATAAGTATGGAAAATGAACTTTATATTATCAAGTATAAAAAGTATTTTACACTCGATAATATAAAGTTCTCTATATAAGATTTTTGTAATTTCTTAATACACACTGAGAGAGTAAAGTAAAAATTGTTATATTGCAAAGGGTAAGATTAAGACTAATTATTTTACGTTCTCGATGTAAAAAGATTCTTCTAAAAAAGTATCATATAACAGTCTCATATAGAAAATTTTATGTTAGAATTAAGTATGAAAGATACATTCTGAGTAATTAATTAATTTTATAACAAACTAAATCTTAGTGCATTATTATGGACAACTATTATTTTAATAAACGATTCAGATATGGACCTCTCAAATTAGGTACTTAGGTAATTTCTACATAAATGTATTATACCTATTGCATTATTATATACATTATTATATCTAATAATAGCAATTATAATTACAGTCATCAGAATAAGTGACGACTAGTAAAATCAAATTAGCACGGATTTAATTTGTTGTGTCGCGCTCGATCGCCGAGTACTTTCTCGATTATCCCATCATCCCCGGTCGTTTCCGATGGTCGAACGCGACAGTTTCAACAGTTTCTTTCTTTTCTCCAATTTTGCACGTCAACGAGCTCGCTTATGTAAAAGCATTTGCGAGCGAAGGGAAGAAAAGTCCGTCGCGCGATGAGGAACGACGAGTGGCGAGTGATTTGATATGATTTCTATTTACGGCTCGGCGATCTCCTCAATCAAAGTTTCAGTCATGGTGATTTCACGTACGGATAGATACAATCTATGCTCGGCTGGTCTTCCGAGAAGATTCTGCTGTGACCGATGTCGTTTCGCCGATGATTTCCGCAATAGACTGCTTTTGAATCTATAAAATATTCTAGTTTTAATATGCTAATATTTGTGTGTGAATGAATATAATAATATATTCCACGCTGATTTTGACATCGGTCAATGTTATAGGAGGCAGTGCCGTAAGAAGATGGATGGTAATGACTGGATTCTTCTTCCTCGGATGTGCCTTAGTGGCTGGAGTAGGTCTACCTTTAGCTTTGGAACTTCGAAGTTCTCATCTGCTTGAAGCTAGACTACAGGTGGTTCGAAGAATGCTTTCGGAGATTCCACTGATCGATGGGTAACAGTTGTATTTTATTTATAAAAAGAAAATACTTCTAGCTCTATATATAAATAGATTTTATTCCGAATTAAAATATACTTATCGCTAAAAATGAGCGCAAGCGTGGCGTAGCAGACAGCGCACTGATCTGCTATACTATAAAGTAATATAGAGATACCGGGCAATTATTAGCAATTAGCTCCTCTCGCAAGGTAAATGGCAAACCA